CGAGCTGGTGGCCCAGTCAGTCAATGGCAGGAATATCGTGGGTTTGGGTTCCGATCCTGGTACTGCCATTACATTTTATCAGTACAGTTCACCACTAACTTTGCTGAATGCACAGGCCTGAGGTCTATGTGGAGGGGCAAAATGTAAGTTAAAATAAGGCCGCAAACCCCCCCCCCCCCCCTAAAAACAAACTAAAATCATATCATAATGTGTTTTGTACCAAACACAACAACTCATAGAAAATGTATCAAACCATTTTCACACAATGTTAGAGTTAGTAAAATGTTTTTTGAATTTCACAAAAATAAAATGCATTTAAAAATAATCCAGATATAATAATATATTTTTAGGTTTTTGTAACAAACAATAGTGGATCCACAGTGGTATTTTGCTGTGGGGGACTTTGGGTGTGCACATAATATATCTGTCAATAACAAAAGGCCAGCTGTTTGTGATTTATTGCTACAATTTTCTGCAAAACATTTCTCTGGGCAGCAAAATATTGCAAAATAATATGTTTGCTTTGTATGGAACTCTTGTAACCATTGCATATAACCACTAGAATATTTGGATTTTTTTTCAATTTGCAACTCTATAGAATTAAGACAATAAGGGGGTTTCTCTGTTACACCCCTTTTTCAGCTGTCATACTTAATCGATTTTCATGATTGAGGTGTCATTTCAAAGCTTATGATCCAGCGCACCTGGGAATGGTCATTAAAAAGTTAATTTCCTTGAGTTCACTTTCAATGATCCAATGTTGCTTACCAAATTTTCAAATGGTGGTTGGATGGTAAAATTAATAAATAGTAAGTAATGACAACATTTCTTTCTTGATTGTTTGACCAAGAGGGGGGAGATCGTTAAAAGGAAGGTTTGAAGGTTTCAGTTTTGTTTCTTTAACTTACAAGATTTGTTTTTTATACTTTCCGTACTTTTAAATCATTAAAATATTTATGTACATTATTTTATATGAAGTAAAATGTATTTTTAAATGCTACAATAATTTAAAAACTAGGAGTTCAATTGCAAAACTGAACTACGCTGTTAACAGTGTAAAAGAAAAGTTGAGTTGTAAAAAACGTGAAATGTTTCCCATCAAGTTTAAATTTTATGCAGATTGTATTCAAGTTTTTTATCAGAAGCCAATATTGGTGGTAAAACTTTGCTGTTGTGGTAGGTAATTACCAAAGACGCGTAGTTGGAGGCTACAAAAGTTGTGACGCATCCGTTGTTGGAAGTTTCAATCAATTTGTGGTTGCGGTTTGAAAGTTGTAGAGTCCCATTACAAGTTTCATACTCGGTGAAGTTCTGTTTGGGTCGAACTTGACTCAATATGTTTTGCGTGGATCTTGGAGAAAATAACACTTCAACCCAGTAATTGTTAACATTATTACGGTACAAAACATTGTTTTGTGTAGTTATTAACCAATAACCAGACGTTATGTAAAAATAAAGTGTCATCAGTTTTTCAAATGTTTACTAACTATTCAGTATTATATTTCAAAAGATCATAATAAGTCTTTTAACAACAATTTTATTCAAGTATTCTCCAAACTTATAAATCAACATCACTATCAATCACAATCTTTGTGAAATGAACTTAACCTATATAATATTATACCAAGCGTTAATATCGTTACTCAATTGAACCTTTTCCATATAGATGGGATATCTTCTTTTGTAATAGGCAATGATTCAACCTGTGCCTACCTATCACAGCACTAAGAGTGGGAAATTCGATCTAGATTTTTAATATGTGATTGATGTCTTTACCACTGATATGAAAATTAAAACACATTATTTCTTGATTGATAGACAACCCGCTGAGAAGTCACGTTATAAAGCTCAGTCAATAATTGTTGAAGTTGATTATTGTAGTCCTATGGTGGTTCAAAACTATATCCAGCTGTTTTTATCTCAAATGAGCAGTCAAAGGCACTCAAGGCACCTCAATCAGATACCACACTACTCTCTTTTATATTATTTCAGTTTAAATACTCCTAACTGCGTTTCCTCTAAAAAAAAGTGGCTTAAAAGTAACCGAGTCTTAATAATTGTATTCTTTGTTCCATTAAACTAGAATTAAAAGATAATACATCTGACCTTTATAAATCAATTGCAAAGGCTACTTATCCAAAAGTCTACTATTCTTGATGTAAAACTAAGCTGTTGATTATAAAACACAATTATGAAGTTTCTTGAATTCACTTTTGTTGCAAAACTTAAATGTGAGTATCTTCCTTTTGAGTTTGTGGAGTTGAATAGAGGCTGCTATGCTTGACAAATGTATACATCGGAAGCCGAGAGAGACGCTACACCAAAGATTGACACTTACCCTACATAATGAGTAGCTTGTAGCGTCTACTTGATTCACTCAGTGTTCGGAACAGTATAGCTCACTTGTCAAACACAGGAGCTGCTTTCAATTTCAAATCTTTTCAGAAAATTGTTTCAGCTGAATTGTAACACTTGTCTAATGACGTCATTATCATGAAACATAAAGGAGGTATCGTATTTTCTCTGTTCAGAAACTAAAAACAGAATTCTATATCTCAATTTACACCAGTAAACATCCTGAAAACAACTTTACATTCTTGCCTTGATGTATATTGTTCAAAGCTTACCATTATTCTAGATTCAAGATTGTTTATTCTAGATTCAAAAATACAGATATTGTGCATAACTGAACATTGGCTCTCAGAAGATAAAATTAAGTTGACGTCTCCTGATAACTTTTACTGTGCTGGAAGTTTCTGTAGAACCAGTCACATAAGAGGCGGTGTTGCTATATTTCTACTCAATGAAATTACTTCAAGGCCTTTTAACATAACCGATTATTGTAGAGAGTTAAATTTTGAGTCATCAGCAATATTTATTGACAAGTTTAAAACCTTAATAATAACAGTCTATCATTCAACAAGTGGTGATCCCCTTGTGTTTCTACATATTTTTGATAAATTATTGTCATTCATTACCCAATGGGCTGATTACAATATTATTATTGGAGGGGACTTTAATGTTAAATTTGATATAACAAAGAATACTAAAACATCACAACAACTAATAAATTTACTAAAACAATATGACTTCTATCATTTAAACAAAGAAGCCACTAGAGGCCAAAACTGCCTCGACAATGTGTTTGTCCATAAAAAATCTGCTAAAATTACATTTTCAAATATTTTTCAATTTCCTTACTCGGATCACAATGGTATCTTAGTAAACCTCAATAGGACAAAAGGCTTCAATAAAGGCGATCCAAAAGAGAGTCAGTTGATAGGAAACCAATGTAAACTCTATTAGCCTCATAAAAATATTCCGGCTCTGACATATAGGCTTGCATGCTATGATTGGAACTCTTTATTATCTAATTTTGATGAGGATAAACCAGAGAATATGTTTGAATTTGTTTTTAATGTTATATTGAACAACTTATATTATTACATGCAAATAGATAAATGTAAACCTAAACTAAGACACAATAAAAAAACTTTATATAAAGACTTATATAAAAAGTCAAATTAAGTGGACATATTTTTGTATACAATATTCACCATAACAAATGTTTCATAATCAATGGTATCTCCAGGGGATAAATGAACGTACTTAGTATCATAAAATACAACTAATGTATAAAATGAAATTGTTTAATCAGCTGTTTGAAAGATAAAGTTTCAACCATATGAGAAATACAAACGTTGTAGATTTCATACCAACCAAGTTTTCTCCTAAAACTCTACCACTGAATTTTTCTATGCCAGAGGGGGTGGGGTAGGTTGAGACGGGCATAAAGCTACAATAAGTCTGAGTACATTGATTATCGTCATCACGCCAAATTTCACTTAATTTGGTCCAGTGGTTTTCGCTTGATTAAAAGACACCTCACTGATTACCCAATATAAAGGTGGTTGATAAGCCAACCGGAGAAAGCATTTGTCCGATTTTCTGATAGCATTTATTTTTTTACGGCAACATTTACCAAAATAGCTGTAAAATCCTGCTTGTTGTTTTGTGATAGTTTTGCCAAGATTGTGGTAATATTAAGATATTTCCAAGATATTCATATTGTACGGTAGATGGTGTGAGATACGAGGGAAACGCGTGTATTGTCACTTCTCCTGTCAAGTATTGAAGCTCCTTTGATGTTTTACAAAGCTCACGGCTCACCTCGTGCTCTCTACGTTCCCAATTATGCTCAGTCTCTTGATTCACCGTGTTAAGCTCGGTGTTTCGTATCAGCTCGCTGAGCGGAAAACTGTTTCATCCAAAAATATCTCTGAGTAAAATATATCTTCCGTTTTCTAGCCTCCATCCTGTAGCTGGTACATTGAATTAGTGCTTTTTAATCAGTTATGTAAATTGTGTTTAGTATTATGTGTTTAATTGTAAGTGGTTGGTATTAAAATTTTATGGTTAAAAGTCGCTGCAGGGCCGCTGATAATTATTGGTTTTTTTAATATGCTAAATATAATTTGAGGCATGACATCACCATCAGTAATTTAAACTTAAAATGTGATATAGATTGTGTCAATTAGGGAAGTGATGAGGGAAAAAGGCAGAAACAACAGTAAAAGTCATACCACTAGACGCTAGTGGTATTAAAATATTCCAAAGGCAATTTTGGAAATCACCCAGTCTTTCTACCAAGATACCTGAAACGATTGAGTAAAACTTGTATTGCCTGCAAGGATGGTTGATTACATAAACTATTGTTTATTTAAAGATATTTCCAAGATAAACCCATGGTAGGGGAATGTTGTTTTTGTGTCTGTAAAAAAGAGCTACACATACTTTAAGCTACACACACGTACGTGTCCCCGGGGTTGCCAATCAAATTGTAACCCAGGAGGCTAGACTGTCACAACTGATATCGCCCAATAATGTCAGCTGCCACCTTGTAAAGTTAAAGAGCTAGAGTCCACCTACATCAGTGTGTTCCTGGCCACGTAAATTATGCAATCAATTATTTATATTGAATCCATCCACTTTTGTTTCAGGATTCGGAAGATGAGATTTCACACCTGGAGTGGGAGACTGTGAAGGTGAGGTTTATCAAGGCAGGGACACTACAGCGGCTGGTAGAGAGTCTGGCTACTGACGAGGGAGAGCTAGAGTCCACCTACATCAGTGTGTTCCTGGCCACGTATCGCACCTTTGCCACACCCAAGCAGGTGCTCAGTCTGCTGCTAGATAGGTGAGTGGTGGCCGTTATGACGTAATAGAATAAATAATACTATTCCCTACCTGTCACCTCTAGTAAAAGATGACTGAGATTAGCCTATTATTTTTGTAACACATTCTCGACTGACTGATTGAGTCTCCCTATTAACAGCAAGCATCACAAAATAATGGTAATACATTACTGAGAATACTATATTACTTTTGTAACTTGGTCTGAGCTGTTTAAACAAACAAATTAAATAACGCTTATTGTGTCTTCGTATAAACAGTGAGCATCATGAAATAATAGTGTATTGTTAATAGATTACTGAAAATACCAAATTATATTTGTAACTTCTGAAGTGTTAGAAAGAGCAATTGAAACTACGCTGACCGTGTCACATCAATAGTGACTGGGTCTATGTCCAGTAACAAAAATAATATTGTTTTTTCACCTACTGTATTACTGTAAAGTTAAGGAACGTTCCTGACTACAATTGCAGAGTAATGGTGTTTCCCATCTCTACTACAACTAGTTGGTACAAATTTGTATCTGAAACAAAAACTAGTTTTAGTTACTCTAGTTGACTCCTTCTGGTTCTGATGTGTTTGTTTCAGCCCGAAGTATTCATTATATTTCTATTTCATAACTTTTCAAGTGAAAAGGGCAACTTGTTGTTAACTGTTTGTGTTCCCATAAAAATTTATCCTAGTTAGGAAAAGTAGGAAATTGAAAATCAATTGTAAAACACTATAGTGTCTACTTCTGGCTGAAAAAAAAAACACCTCAGAACCAGAAGGAGTCAAATGTACTAAATACAAATTGTTTCCTGTCAAAACTATTTTTGAAGATATCAAGATCATGAGGAGCCTTATTTGCTCATTTAGAATAGTTTTTACTGAATACAACTGATTGAGAGTTCCATGAGAAATTATTATTAGGAATTACCAAGGGATTATCATTAGGAATTAGAAATTACCTATTTATTACTTTTTAATTACATTTTCAATGCTTTTACTTTACAAGGGAAGACCGAAGACAGTGTATTCAATTTTGACTTCTTTCAGGTATGAACAACTGGCCAACAACGAGTTGGACCTTCCAGAAATGGTTTCAGACCAACACAGAAAGTAAGTATTTCTAGCCATAGTCAGTCTACTTGCAAATGTGAGTAGGATAAATTATAGACTGTAAAGTAGATACTCAATTGTTATTGTTATAGCTGAGCCTGGTGTAGGCGTCAGAGCTGATTATTTTCACTGAAATCTAGATTTTACTTTTTTAAATGTATGTTGTACACAAAAAGGGTATACCGATGCTTCTAGGTGTCGAGATTGCTTTGGCAAAAAACTCACAAACAAACCAAACAAGCAAAAAATGTCATGGATGTGTAGTTAATCTAGTAATTATCATCCTAGTTCAGTGTTAGAGGGATGTTTTTTTTTTGTGGTCTAGTATTTCCAAAAATGTGTAGAGTTATGACCACTTTTCTTAAAAAAAATTGTGTGTTTTACTAGCTACCTACATCTGGGGTCAATAAAGTGGTTAAATTAGGGAGCAAATAATACAATACATTGATTGTATTTCTATCAAAATAGCTTAAAAGACATAGACAGACACCATAAGTAAACTCTAAATTTAAAAAAAATAATGAACATCTATCTATCAAACATGGATTATTGTTACTAGTTTGTCATACACATCATTAATCCCGATTATCCCGCAGGACCCTGGTGCTGGCGTTGCACGTGTGGCTGGACTCGTATCCGGAAGACTTCAGAGATCCTCCCCTGCACGCCACGCTGCATCAGCTGCTGCACTTCACACAGGCGCATCTACCTGAGTCAGAACTGCAGCACAAGGTCAGGCATCGTCTGGAGAGGTTCATCAGAGAGGATGAGATGCTGGGTGAGTGACGGACTACTAATAACACTGTCCTGGGTACCTTGACTTTTTGAGGTTGGCGGCCTCTTTTAACCTTGCATTTGTCCGTCCTCATAGACTACATACATACTGAACGTGGAACGTATCCAGCAAAGCAAGGGGTGAGCCGGTACAGTACAAAGGTGAACTGTACTGATAAAAGTTAGTGGCAGTGACCAGGATCCGAACCCACGACACTACTGCCTTGGGCCCGAAGTCCGCGACGCTACCGACTCATCGGAAGTTTTGACAGAAGTTGACATGTGACGTGTCATTATGTCGAGTACTGATTTTTGTCTAATATGCCCATGTATTTCACACACAAAAACATGCTTCTTGTTTACACACCTACTAAATTAGCATAATTTCAAAGTCCAATCAATAATGAAAGTATCAAAAATCAAGAGAATGATCATGACAATAGCACATGCAAAGTTGGTGGTAATTAAGCGGATCACTCCACTATATTTTCACTCCAGTAACAAATCGGCTACAGCTGATCGATATGGATCTGTCTGCTTCACTATCAAAAAGTTTTAATGGTTTAATGTATACCGGTAACTGAAGTGTTCCTTTATAGGTTAACTTCCACAAAAGTTCACTTTTTAAAATTTGAATTTTTTTAATGTTGTGGGTGTCTATTCCAAACGTCCTTAATTTTTGCTAAGCATTGGCTTAAACAATTATCTAAATGGTTATTGCCCAAAGTAGCCGAGTGGTTGTAGTGCTTGTCTTCAGATCAGTTTGAATGATATTGGTTCTGGAACTAGATGACAAGAGACAGTTTACTTTAATTTGTAAATTCTATATTTCTTGTTACAGAGTCCTGTCCACTGTTCACGCCTGACAGTCTGTACCTACACTCTAACGGGACTCACGCTCCACCCTACAGCTTCCCAGACATCCCTGAGCGACATTTCGCTGAGCAGCTGACGAGGATGGATATGGTGAGCTGGATTTACATTTGTTGCTCTTTCAATACTTCTTTCTATTTCTTTTTTTTTCAATAAACTACCCGTGTGTTTCAGATTTCAAATAAATAACTAGTAATGTTAAAACTTGATTTAATAGTCCTTATTTGTGGAAAAAAACAGAAACATTATTCTTGCTTTATTCATTTATAGGATTAATTAAATTACTTGTTAAAATCTTTGTCAAGAGAAGAGAAAGAAAAACTGTTAAAGCTGTAAATTGGTAGAAAAATAGGCTTCTCTAAGACTTTTACACTGATACACACTTAAAAAACATAAAAATGGTTTAGGCATTTCTTTGTGGGGAGTTTTTTTTCAGCAATACTCACTCTTTTAGCGAATTTCCCTATAGGGAAGTAGCTATTACCGTAGGTCTCATGGTAAGACCTAGGCCCGGGACTGATTTACTTTTTCATTTTGATGTCTCCAGAGGCCATAAACACCATTCGTTCAAATTTTTATATATCTATATATATATATGTGTGTGTGTCCATCCGCACGATAACTTGAGTAATTTTTGTCCGATTTTGATAAAATTTGGTTTGAAGGTGTAAGGCGGGATAAACTCGAACGAGTTCGAGAACCAGCATGATCGGACTATGGGAACGGGGGTTTACGGGGAGTTTTATGGGGTATAAATAGGTTTTTCCCATTTTTGACCCAAAAAAAATAAAATTTTGCAAAATCTTTTCAAACTTTTTGTAGAGCTTAAAAAAACAAATAATTTAGTATAGTGAAGTGTTACTATGCGCCTAATGGTTACGGAGAAAATTCCAAAAAAATGTAAATTTTAAATTCCCATGTTATTCTTATGGAGAATGAGTAAACTGTTGTAGTTTGCTTGTTTATGAACATATTTTGATCAAATTTGGAAAATGTTTTTATTTCTTACTAACTATTAACATTTTACAAAAAAAAGTTTTACCCTCCCTGATGCAGCAAACCTAAGTACCTGTTAAAATAATTCTATTTAAATAGGAAATAAATGTTAAATTTTTAAGTAGACATTTTAGTGTAAATCCAATCAGACATATGGAAATTCGCTTAGTCTGCAGGTTTGCTGCGGCGGGGGTATTTATGAAAATCAAGACATTATAAACAAAATTTCCCCTTTATTTTATTATTTGGAATCTAGATTTACAATAAAAAAACATTGAAACAAATTAATGTTGACTAGTTAAAAAAATACATGGCATAAGTTTTTTTTTTTTTTTTTAGTTCATGGTTATGGTGCTGACTGCCTAGCTAAAATTACTCATTATTTCTGGTATGTCCACAAATTACAAATGCGTAGTATAGTGTAACAGTTAAAGCTACAAACTTCATATACCTGCCCCATCATAAATAACACTGACGTAATGTTCTGTGTAACTATGTACAGATTGTTAACAGTTTCTCCCAAACATCTGAACCATCAGATTAACGTGTGGTGACTGATGAGTTAGACTTTACGTGGTTATTATATAATTCTGTTACATATATCTTGCTGAAATTCAACATGTGTGTGTAGAAGCTGCTGCAGAGGCTAGTACCTCACCAGTGTCTCGGAGGCATCTGGTCACGCAGGGACAAGTCACGTAGCCAGGAGGCGGCTACAGTGTTGGCTACGGTTAACCAGTTCAACGCGGTCAGTCTGCGAGTGATCAGCACAGTGCTGATGGACCCTAACTGTCGGCCAGTGGAGCGAGCTACGCTGATAGCCACTTGGATAGACATTGCTCAGGTGTGTGAGATGTTGATGTTAACTCTACAGTACAAGCGCGGCTAATAGTAACACCAGTACACACGTGTGGACTGACAGTCCGCGTCTTACTTCTTACTGGAAACGCTCTTTTATATACCTAATAAAGTTCATATAGCATCAAAATTTCAAATAATCAAAATATAGTAAATATAAATGGATAAATTTCAAAATAATTTCAAATATTTCAAATTGAAAATGTTTTGTTGAAAACCAATCAGTCAATCGCTGGCCTGTTCTTCACCTTCTTGAAACATGACGTGCCTAACTTTACACCCTCGTAGCTCAGGGCCAACTGAGGCTGAGACGGTCAAAACACCGCTATTGTCCTTGGAAAGGTAGGTGAGTGAAGGTAGATGGAACGTCATGTCATTCGCTCGTGGATTCACTTATTCCTGCAAACTTTTTCAAATGTGCGGACTCTTGAGTCTATGGCGGTGTACTGGAGGGGTTTGAACATTGATTGGCGTGAAAAATTTACTTTTTTTATTGAAATTCAAATTACATTCTTCATTTTCATTTTAGAAATGACAAAAAACATCAGTTACTAAAAATATCTTTTAAGAGCATCATTTCACCTTTCATAATATGGGTTTCTGATGTATTTGTCGACTGTTTTGGCTCTACTAACACATAAGAATACTGTCTTCAAGATTTTCAAAACCACTGAGTTAGTAACCCTAGTATAATGACTTTTGTACTACTCACACTTAAGAAGGTTTCATAGGCATGATAGGAATTATTCAAATATTTAACTGTCATTTTTTCATGTTTCAGGAGTTAAGGGTTCTCAAAAACTTTTCATCGTTGAAGGCGATCATCTCAGGTCTTCAGTCCAATCCAGTCTATAGGTTACAAAAGACTTGGCAATGCTTACCAAAGGAAAAGGTAATTGATATTTTTTAAACTACTTCAGTAATACGTTTTATAGGGAGGAATAGTAATAGGCTACATTTTTATACGTCATTTGATCACTTTTATTTTTTTGTCATCATACAACACCATATAATTTAGTACTTTATTGACAGTAGTAACTCCAATTGAGATTATCCTTAACACCAAACTATTAAACAGTTGTTTGGTATATATTTGCTCCAATTGTAATATTGATTTTCTTTCCTTAATTCACTCGACAACTGTGGGCTTAAGAATATTGATTGTGATTGTGTGATGAGTGTAATGTTGTTTGGCCACCAGGTGGAGGTGTTTGAGGAGTTAGCCAGGATATTCAGTGAGGACAACAACCAGTGGGCTCAGCGGGAGTTGTTGATGCGGGAGGGAACGGCCAAGTTTGCAGACACTGTGGGTGAAAATGACAAACAACTGCAGAAGGTCATTCAGCGGCAGGCCAACAACAGTGGGGTACGTAATCTAATAAAAAAAGTTTGTGTGTCCACCTACAATTTTTTTCACAAGAATTTAAACATTTTTTAATAAACGTTGCTGTTCAAAATATTAAACTGCCATGGCCACTTGTACCCAAGCTGGTACTTGGCCTCGCCAACACGTTGTTGCCTGTTCTCTCGGTACTCCGAATCTTCCTCTACTAGTCTCATCTTTTTCGATATCCTTCCGGATTTGATCCCACCACCTAGCTTTTGGTCTTCCTACTGGTCTCGTTCCCCTCGGATCTCCCCTTAGTACCTTTTTCAACAAGTTCTCCTCATTTCTCCTCAAGATATGGCCCACCAACCTTAGCCTTCTGCTTTTGGCCTCCTACAATATTGGGGTCTCGGAATTATTCTCTTAACTCTTGGTTGTGGCGGATTCCCCATCTTCACGTACTGGACCGTATATATTGGAAATATTCACAATATCTTTTCAAACTCTTTCTAAAATTGTCTTTTTCTAAAAGTTTTGAAAATTTAATTCTGTTTGTCAATTACAGAGCATCAGTCATGGGACTATTCCGTACTTGGGAACATTTCTGACAGACTTGACCATGATAGACACAGCCATTCCTGACACACTGTACGAAGGTCTCATCAACTTCGACAAGCGCAGGAAAGAGTTTGAAGTTTTAGCTCAGGTATGTGAGTTTCTATTTTTGCTAAAAACAACATTTTTTTGTCTTTTTAGAGAAGCTTTCTAGATATACTGTACTAGAAACTCAAAATATATTTTTGAAATTAGTATCTCTAAGTTTTGTTTCAAAATTTAGCCAAACAATTTTAATTGATATTTTGATTGTTTTATTTTCAATCAATACATTTTGTCTCGAAAAGAACATTCTCATTCAGATGCTAGGATTTGATGTAAATACAAATTGGAAAAAAATTATAGCTTTACTTAAACTAAATAAAGTCAATTAAGGAAGAAAAGGAATCACAAAAACTCATCTGAATGACAGTGTATGACACCAAAAACAATTTATAAAACAAACAATTTTGCTAATTTTGGAGTTTCATCAGAATAGTGTCAAGAAAGAATAATTCTGCAGAAGCCTAAAAAAGTTAATTAAATATTATGTTCATTACGAGAGATTCTTTTTTTGTTTATCAACTTGGGTCCCATTTCCTTCATAAATTTAATTTCAAAGCCAAGAGGTTTATTACCATACAAAGAAATATTTCAAAATTTAATCCATATGTACTCCGTTAAGAACACTCGATTAGATAGTATTCTACTGGACAAGACATCATTCACTAAACCTATGTAGACTTGTAAAATTTGTCAGAACACTAAATTCAATCAGCCATGATCTATCCTTATTACAAGGTTTCATCTTCCATTGTACAGATCAAGTTGCTGCAAGGCGCAGCCAATGCGTACAACATCCACGAAGACGTAGCGTTTGACCGATGGTTTGACTCCATCCTCACCTTGGATGACAGAGAGGCTTACCAGCTGAGCTGTCAGATAGAACCTCCTACTGTGCCTACACTCACCGTCACCACTCAGCGGCACAGGAAGAAACCTCCCAACAACTGGTGAGTGGAGGGTGTTCAACGTCACGTTTAGAACAAGTTGCTCGTTGACTTTGAATTCTGAAGCAGACTACCCACTTAAATGGATCAGCGGTAGCTAATTTTGGATTTCATTTTGATTAGAGCATGGTTGGATGAGCCAACCACAGAGTGAGCTAGCTACAGTTTCAAATTCTATTTTCACCCACATTTTATTAGGTACTGTGATAGCTTATGTGATAATAAAGATGTATGGTTTACAATAACTTTGTAAAGGAATATTATTTCAACCTCAATATTAGCTTGAAAATATTAGAGTCCTAAAAAATACGCAAATAAAAGATAAGAGGGTTTCTTCTGGGAGTAGATTGAATGAACGATCTCTTCTTTTATTGGTGTATTACCTGGAAGTCACAAAAAGGGAACACATAATCAAAGTTGTCAAGTCAAGAACAAAGTTACTGGATTTGAATCCAGTGTATCCTACCCAAGGCTTTTGTGGTGATATTATTACATTAGCTGTAGTAAAAAAAAAAACACACAAAAAACTGCCTCAGTAATACATGAGTTCAAAGAAACCACAATAGCATTCAGTTAAAAAGTAAACCTCTGAACCTTTTAGACTTCTCAGTCTCCGTTGAAAAACGTGCAATTCTTTAAACAATAAATTACCAATTCTTTATTAGGAAACACTATGTATCTGATTCAAAAAGTCTATGCATCAAACCTAGTTTTCTGTCAATATAAAATACTGAATAATATTATTTTGTAAAGACAGCAAGATGTAAAGTGCATGACAGTGTTTGTTACAGTATGGGCCACAGAAAGAACGATTCAATAGCGTCCACAACCAGCAGCAGCTCTAGCAGTCAGTTCTACGACTTGGAGAGTTTGCCTTCCTCCCCTAGAAACTCTCTTGACAGGAAGGTAAGACTGCTTTTGTAAAGATTACGTTTGTTAGGTCTGTTGTCTGATAGATAGTATTGATATTGATAGTTAGCATTCTTATCAAAGACAACAAAAACTACAAAGCAAGTTGAATGATGCTTTTGACCACTAGTGTGGTTACTACAATTTCCCATTCTATAGTAAAATCAAAAGCCTGTTTTAATGGATGTTTCAAGCCTGGTTGACTTTTAGTGTTCTGATGTCTATAGGTCATTTTATAACATGAGGATAAATTGTACGATGTTTGATCTACTGACAACCAGTAGTAGTTTATCAATAGAGTGTTTTATTTGGTAATTCATACAGAGACGCTTTGATATATGGGCTCAGGACCAGGGGCGGTGGAGGGAGGGGGGCGCTATTAAACTTTAATGCCTTACTTAATTCTTTACTTTAAAATAGCGACCATACGAATGTAGGTATTTTAAGTATTGTCACTCTGGCCCATAGTGTGTCACTTAAAAAATGCAGGCCTGATTACATACATAGTTTCCAAGTTAGGCAAATAACCATAAGTAATAAGTAAACGTCAAAACACCCTCTACCAATACCATAGATAGAAAAATACCTTGAAGGTGTCCTACAATATTGGGGTCTCGGAATGATTCTCTTAACTCTTGGTTCATTTCCAAAGATGTTAAATTTATTAGGGAGTATATTTGAACTATGTGGTGACATAGTTAATAATAAAGCATTATGAGGCGTCATGTTGCTTCATTATTTCATTGCTTTATCTTTCAACTTATGGGCTTGAATTTTCAAGGCGTCGCCGTCCCAGATGTCGTCCTCGTCTAGTAATTCTTCCCTACCCTCTCTGGACGTGAGTGTGGGCAGCAGTGCTACCAACACGACAGGCAACAGCGTGTCAGTCAGTGCTGCCAACCGCAGTCCTGCGTCTTCACAGCTACGGCAAGTCACTCCGGACTTCTACATAATCAAGGTCACCTTGGAAACTGACCTTGTGGAGACTGATGGTGTGTATTGTCTAGAGTTAGGTTTAAAAGAGACATAAGCCTTTTTGTTATTGGTTCTGATCCCTTAATTGAGGATATGCTTTCTGCTCAAGCTAACAAAAATTAATAGGCCTACCAATAACATATGTTAAAAGTTCACCACCTCTATATATGGAACATTCATTCTGCTTAGGAACTGTTTATTGGTTCCTATTAACTGGTCACAATTCAACGGAAATATTTCATCCTGACATAGATGTAATTTACTACTAAAAGTAGGCCAAAATAATTTAAATAGTAATTTTGTTAGAAGTATCTTAAGTAACATTTTCCACTGCACGCTGATGTTTTATGTGTGAGGCAAAGCCAAGCATGTAAGAATGAGTACAACGCTAAGCTGAGAACACAAATTATTGGAGCAAGTGTCAGGAAATCACGTTTGGAGAAATTGTGAAAGATAGTTTTCATGACAAAGAAAATATGCCTATTTCTGTTTGCATTTAGATTGTTAAAAGCTATTTGTTTATTAAGAGTGCAAAGTATGTCATTGTCGCTCGAGAACTGTAGATGGTTGCACAAAGATTTAGCTGAATGCGGCCATACATTTCGGGAGCAGTAATGACTGTGCTTGTTTGTAAATACATGCAAGATTTTTTCCACTGCCATAATTAACTTATCGTAACGCACAGATAAGCTTTTCGGTCATATAAAATGTCATTTAGGTTTCCCTCACACAAATGAGCGCAGGAATGAATAAAGCAGAAATTAGTTTTTTTGCACACTAGCTGTTTACAGGTGTGTCATTTCCGTGCAGTGTTAGGATAACAGTAAAAAATAGGTAGATGTGCTGTACTATAGCATACCATACAAATTAAAAGAACTAAATTTTCTCAAACCGTATCCTCTCCCACAACTGCAATAATCATTTTATACGTATATGCCAACACCATACGAAAGATGGGTAGTCTTCTAGTTGGTTTTTAAAGGAGATTCCCTAAACTATTTATAAAGGTGTGATTAGCTGTATGGTGTATTTGTGACGTGGTGTTATTGCAGGCATTGTGATGTACAAGAGTATAATGCTGAGTAACAATGAAAGAACACCTCAAGTTATTCGCAACGCAATGCTCAAGCTGGGGATTGAAGGCAACCCTGACAACTACACTCTCGCTCAAGTACTTCCAGATAAAGGTAAACTTTACAAAAGTCTTGTAAATTAATTTTAAATTGTAATTCTAAAAAAGACTTGGATTATCATCACCAAATCACCATTGTGGGATTTGCTTCAAGATGGTTCATGGGCACCTGTTGAGTACAAATCATCGATCACTTTGGTAAAACAACGGTTATAACATATTCAGAAAATATTTAAGACAGTTTTCTTTTTCAAAGAATTTTCTAATAATAATTTAAAGTTTGTATAACTTAGAACCATCGAATTACTCTTGAAAGAAAATCTAAAATGACCAATGAAAAATAACAGCTTTGGTGAGTCGAAGGCTCAGTCAGTAGCAAAACAGACCATGAATTCATAGAAAAAAGGTTGTATCCTTGTGCCCAATCGCCACTAATTTTATTAATACATTTCACCCTTGTACTGGAAAGGCTTACTCCTTGCTTCGCTGGATACATTCCATGTACAACCAAAGGCAGGCTGCCATACTTAAAAAAAAGAATATCAATCCAACTTGTTAAAAAATGTGTCAAATCTTTCTTGTATTTTCTATGTATTACTTAAAGTAATTTACTACTTAAGCATAACTTTTATTTAGCACCTAGAATTATTCATTATTTTTAACATTTTTTTGTAATGTTTTCTCAACAGAAATGCTACTGCCGGCCGACGCGAACGTGTACTACGCTGTCAACACTGCCTTCAACCTCAACTTCATTCTTCGGTCCAAGCTGAGACTATTAGACAGTCCTGCCACGTTACCCAAGCCTTCACGGACCAAGAACGGAAAAAAATTCCCCCTCTCCGGCTCGTGATACAGGCTTTAACGTGGAACTCTTTGTTTCACTGCCTTAATAAGTCAGACTTAAGATATATTGGTGAACATTAAGGCACAAACAGTGTTTGGAAAATACTGTTAGTTCTTACCTAGAGATTTTCACCCTCTATTTTATAAAAAATTTTAATTAAACATATTTTTTTAGAAACGTACCCTGGAATGTAGTCATACTGCCAATGTGTAAGATTTTATCGTTTAGTTATAAATAACGAACTTAGAAACGGGATAGAGTCTTTGGCTAGTTTCATAAAATTTGCATAGCAAATCTATACCATTTACCCTTGAAACTTCCCCTTCCTCAAAAATTATAACCCAATATTCACAACTGTGGTTTCATTTTGGACCTTAAAATGTATTGTGATACTGTACTCCATTGTTGACCTTTTTACTTCCTCTTTCATGTCCTTTGGTTTGTATTGACCTTGGTTCTTATGGTTAAAATGTTATTCCTTTCTTTATAACCTTGCTACTTATCAGTAATAGTATAAGTAAATAATACTCGTCAATTTTAAAATATATTTGTTGATTAGGTTTGTTTCAATTGAGTAGGTAATGAGTTTAAATAATGTTATCAATTTATCATATTGTTACTGTACAAGTCATTGTTCTCTCAAGTTCAAAGCGTTATAAGTCTCACTTTTGTGTTTTATTTATTTTAAAAACATAGGTCTTACTAGCAATTAATTTATGGATGTGCAGAACAAAACCTACGCAACTTATTTGGATCTCATTGACTTCTAGTGACCAAAGCTATGTTGTTATGAAATGTTGAGGTTGTTGTCATGGTGTTGTTGATATAATGTTAGGTTGTAACTGTGGAATTGTAGTGAGTACTTGTTATTTTGTCACAAATATTTATTTAAATTGTGAATAAACTGTTTTTTAAATTTTAATAATGATAAACTGAATCTGTACAGTTAGTTATAAGAATTGTTGGAATTAAATTTATCTTTGAGGTTAGTGCAATGTAAAACAGTCAATTACAATCGACTATTAATTATTTTTTTTTAATACTGCAATTTATATTGTTAAATATTCTTTACATACATTAATTGTAATTGTTTGTATTGAATATCTGAGTTTTATAGCTGTCAAAATGTAAATGTGATATAGGATTTCCAGCTGTGTTCATACTTGAAACAAACATATCTGATACAAGTTCAAAACTATTTTTTTTAGGTATAAATCAAAATACCGTAGCTAAATTAAATCAAAGAAAATGTGTAAAATATCAACTTGATTATTTCAATCTAACCAAATGTAAAACTAAACAACAAAATAAACCATATACAGTATGTCCTTTGTATGTAGTTATACACGTGTTGAAAAAGACAAGTAGATGATGACCAACTTTGTTGTGTTAGGGTATGTAAAAACTCCGTGATCTTGTAAAAGTGTTGATAATTTATTCTCACACATTTTTTGTTTGTACATTTTTATTAATCCCTAGAAATAAAGATACACGTTAAAAAATATTTAACCATACCCTAATATAAAGCATTCACCTTGCAATTTGGTTAAAAAACAAAGAAAAATGTTGGATGACAGTTTTCTGCTCACTAATTGTTTTAAAACATTCTTTATAATATTGTTTCTTTGGCTCTATATTTTTGTCCTTTAGAGATTTGTTCAGATTAGTTAGTTGTTTGATTATTTTCCTCAAGACTTCTAATAAATGCTAAAAGTAAATTGAGAAGCTAGTATCCAATAAAACCTATATTTCACTGAAAAAATTCAATCAATTTCTTAATGTCCATCTTACTAGTTATTCTTGAATTTAAACAAGGAGTTAAAATTATCTATTGCTGCTAAAATGTTTTTTTGTTTATTATTGTTGTACTATTACAAGGAATTGATAAAAGAATAAGCTTCAAGATTTGCTTATAAACATAAAGAAATTATGTTACTGGTCTGAAAGTGAACATTATTTAACAAATGGAACAGTCTAAACCATATGTTTATGTTAAGTTCAGTTTCTTTTCTAATATTTGTGTGATTTACTTATAAACGTAGGGATAATATTTTTTTTTATTTTGAAAGAAGATGCATATTTCAAACTGATTTGATGTATTATTCTTGGTAAATATGTATTAATTCTGTGTGACTTTATGTTTACTGTTATAAATGTACTTAAGTGTTTACACGTCTGTGATAGTTAGAAACAAAACATTAAGTGCAATGCTGCAAGTTCCAGTATTTCAAGTCCTAACATTCGAGACAGCAGAAGTATTTCACAGTATTAATATAATTGTTGTTTTGTTATTAATGTGAAAGTCTTAAAGTATAAATATTTTGGCTCTATTTTATAGTTTACTATTGTAATTTATTTCATGAACAGTTGTTGACACTCTGAGTCCAGAATGGAAAGCAACAAAATTCACACTGCCTGATTCAATTATTAGAAATTACTTACTTTTAAAAATTTAACTTTTTAGTACGGTATGGATTAATGAAAGTCTAAATATGTCAACTTATTAATACCATACTGTATTTTCATAATAATATAGTGAAAATATAGTATTTCTTTTAGAAAAGTTTGTTTTCTAAAGTAAATAATAATTGTTATTTTTCTACTTTAGAAAATTATAGAGGTCGAATCTTTAGCTGTATGATTTTCATTTTCAATTAAAATCTGTGTTCCATCCTGAAAATATTTACTATACAATTTATTTTGCTCCGACAATAATCACCCTTTCATTTATGTTTTGTAATTACATGTAATATATGTATGCAAAAATGTACAAATGTAAATTTGATGCTATTTAAGTCTTTTGTACATACAAAATGTTTTATAAATATAAATAAAATGTCTTATCTTATATATTTAAATGTGTGCTTTATTATTTATTTCATAGTTAGTTAAATTTGTACTTTTAACACGTTTAGTGAAAAATTGATACTAGGGCCTACAGTAATATTCTGTATATAACTGTTTAATCTCTATAGAAATATAACTACTGTATCTATTCTAAACAATCATTAATTTGGATACTGTTAATTAATATTTGGACCGTTCTCTTTTAAAACATAAAAAATGCCACTAGCGTAGAGAAACACAGAAAAAAAATACAGAATTTGCTTAACAGGGACAACCATTCAACTGCAGTTAAGTTACAACTGGTTAAGCGGTCAAATGGTGAAGTTCTACATACAGTAGACTCCCTTCTTACCCGGACTCCTCGGGACCAAGGCCAGTCCGGATAACGGGTTTTCCGGTTAAACCGCCGCCCCCAAATTCAACTCGTTTAAACGGACTGTTTAAATGCATAATGTATACAGTATTTGACTTAAATTTAGGAGAGCATTGTATTTATACACATAATTGCTGGTCTCAAATCTTTCCGACGAGAACAGTCGTTTCAGTATCGCCCACTTCCTGCCGATCTGGTCCGGTTAAAGGTGTAAGGATAAGAGGGAGTCTACTGTAGTAGCCTACTTTGAAATAAATACACTAAAAGCGCTCAATGGAAAATAAAACTTCCAGGATGACTTATAAAATGTTATTAATTTAATTAAGAACTTTTAGTATGCACTGTAACTGGCTTAATCAAACTGGAATGAAAATAAACAACATTCACATATTTTTAAATGTTACCTGTAAATTTGACTCGCCATCAATGTTTGTGTATCTAAAATTATCTGAATTCAACAAATCTATTTTGTAGCATTTGTCTAACCAGATCCAATAATCAATCACATTTTATGCTAACGTCTTCAGTAACAGTTTAACATGTCAAAGACTCTCAACAACATGCTCATAGATCATCAACCTTGAATGGTAATGGGTTCAAGCTTGTTGTCTACAACAGGTGTTTTAAAGTACCGACTTAAACCTCGTTATCAAACGCATCTGTTGGTAGCATGTGATGTGCGAGTCATGTTAGTTATATTTTGTTATAACTATGTTACTTTATCATGCATTCTTTCTTCTCTCGTTTTCAATATTGAATGAAGCTACATTTCAAGAATTGTGTAAGTACTGTACTGTTTATTTTTATTTTCATTAATTTCAACACTTATAGATACCGTAGATAAACCTACCGTAGATACTCCTTTTTTAGATTTATCATATTGATGAATCATCTGAAGGCAATTTTTAGGTATCTATATGTTTGCAAACACGGATGTCAATGTCTTCTCTTTATTTTTGTTTCTTTTTTATTTCAAATTAATTTCCATCAAATAGATGAATGCTCTTTGTAAACTTCCGCTGGCCTGTGGTAATTTTTTTTTTTTTTTTTTTTGTCCTAAGACGCTAGGCACGAACCTGGGATTGTTTTTCACATTACTTCAGGCTAGACCTAGGGGTTGCGGCATTATCACTTGGATAAAATCCATTGGTGACTTGGCGGGGATCGAACCCGGGACCTCAGGGACTGAAGTCCCACGCTCTAACCACTACGCCAGCTCGCTCCCCCACTGGCCTGTGGTAATACAACCTTAAATAAACCCCACAGTTTCTATAATCCAACCAATAATTTGTTATTAAATTTTTCAAATGATTACTGTACTCTTAGTATTTAAAGAGCATGTATGTTATTAGAATTGCAATATAAACTATTGGGACTGGTGTCTATAACATATGAACTGATTTTATATGAGGCCTTAATAATCCAAGGGGTAAAAGGTTTTACCTTTGGAGGGATCCACGGCTCGTGCTCCCAAATTTTGAAAATTTACCTCGCTTATAACACCATTCTAGTTAACTTTTAGCCTCTCAACTTCACATTTGATTAACTTCCATTATTTTATAAAGCACTTGAATAATTTATCTTGTGCCAGATGAGCTTGAAAAAAGCACCAATATTTACAAAAGCAAACAAAATTGAAATAATTCACAGTCACTTCACTGACCACTCTGTTTGAGAGAGAGCGGTGTTGATGGATGAGTGATGCCAACCTAACTAACAGGTTGGTAACGAATTGGGTTACTGTACTGGAAATTGTATCAAAGACACATTTCAAGAGAATTGTAAGAGACATTTCATTCAACAAAAATGCTTTTACTGTACCATTTTGTTCAATAAAATAAATATATAAAGTGTTGGCTAGATGGGGGGAAAGGTCGCAGAACAATATAAAGAAAATACATCCGCCTCAGACCTGCAGACTAAGCCAATTCCCATGTAGGAACCTAATTGAATTTTCAATTAATCATGTTTTTTTTAATAACAATAGATTTAAAGAAATGTATAATTAAGTTTACAAGTTCAACAAAGCCAATATATAATAATTTTATTTTGCTAATGGACACACTACAAAATTAATAGACAACATGCTAAAGCTAAATTAAAAAGACAGAAAAATCAGAGAACTACCCACATTTCAGAAAAGAAAAAAGAAAATAATTGGATTAGTGTAACTTATAACGTACAACTCAAAATTTGCAAGTAACATTAAGAGCATTTTCAAAAATAAATATTCACAAAATTTAACTTTCAGACCTATTAACCTACTGAAATCAAAATTAGGCAATCCTAAAGAAAAACTATCAAAATTTGACCTGTCTGGAATTTATGAAATCAATTGTAATGATTGTAACATGAAATATATCGGCCAAACAAAAAGAAAAATCCAAACAAGATTCAAAGAACACCAAGCTCATGCAAAATACAGAAGACCTAAAAAGTCAGCCCTTGCTAGCCACTATTTTCAATGTGGGAAACCTTAAACTTTTAAAACAAATTATAAAACCTCAACATCTTAATGCGTAGGAATCTTATTTTATAGAAAAAACAGATCAAAATTATTTGTTAAATAATGAAGACGGCCCAATTATAAACTCGGAATTACTGAAAATAATTACATCAAGAACAACACTGTAATATATCCAAAATTCAAAAGATTATTTTTCTGATATTAATTTTTATAAATTTTTCCTATGCCCTTTACAAAATATGTTTTAACTTTGATTAAAATTAATTTATTATTAAGTAAATATTTACTTTTTGTACCAGTGTACTAGTGCCTGAAGACGGAAACCTAGTTTCTGAAAGCCCTAGTGAATAAAATAAAATTATTATACATTGGCCTTGTTGAACTTGTAAATTTAATTATACATTTCATTATTAATTGCCAATATCTCCAATATAGGTTAACAATAGAATAGATTTAACAAGTAGCTAGGTTTGCTGCTACAGTGAGGGTTATCAAGTGTTTCATTTAGTCAAATATGATTAGCTCAGTATGAAAGAAATAAATTTATCAAGTTTGATCAAACTATATCCATAAACAAGCAAACTACAACAGTTTTTGTACATCAGTTATTCTCCATAAGAATAACATGGGAAATTTAAATTTACAATTTTTTGAATTTTCTCTGTAACCAATAACTGTACAAAAACGCTTCAATATACAAAATTATTTGTTTTTTTTAAGCTCTTCAAAATTGTTTAGAGTGGAATTGGGAAATTTTATGTTTTGAAAGTAAAAAATGAGGAAAATGAGAAATCTCCCCCCCCCCCCCCCCCCCATAAAACCCTGTTCCCATGACGTTCCAATCCTGCTGGTTCACGAACTCGTTTGAAAGAAAAGTAGGTTTATACCAAATTTCATCGAAATCGGGTCATTTTTGCACCAGTTATTATACGACTAATGGACATATGTATACATATATGAATTTGTATGGATGGTGATTTTGGCCTCTAGGGGCATCAAAATGGAAAAGAAAATCGGTCCCGGTTCCAGGTCTTACCATGAGACCTACGGTAAATAGCTTCCCGCTAAAAGAACATTTTACAATACAATTAATTACATTAGATCCAAAAAAGTTGAAACTAGTAAACAATTTTATAATTTAAATTTGTTTACAAGTTTTATCCTATGATATTCTCACTATTTAATACTCCATACAAGTGATAGTCCCAACAGAAACTTAAGTAAATCTGATCCATCTCCTATATTATCATACAAAATTTCCATTCCTCAAAAGTTTAAAATAATGGCTGAGTTTTAACGTTTATAAAAAGTACTATATTTTTTACTGAAATAGTCATAAATTTAAACTTTTATTGTAAAAGATAAAGATACCTAACAAGTTTCTTCTGGTTTATTCAGACAATGCGCTGAATGGGCCTCATTTGAGGACGAGAAACCGCTTTTGTGAAAGCTTATTCCCAAAATGCCCTCCGATCAATTGTCGTCTCCATGATGATGTTATACGTGGTTTCTGCTGCGGATGTGCCTACGAGTATGGTGAGAAACATAAAATGTAAAAAAATATTGTCTAAAGGGACTAAACAAGATAAAATCCAAACAAAAGCAGATTTAAATGTGCAACTACAAAATAAACTATTTTAAAAACATTTTTAATTTGTTTGAAACTAGTTTAATATACCTACTTGAAAACATCTTGTGATTTACAAATAAGGGGATACATATTATAACATTTAAAGGAAAACCAATTATCAGCTACTAGTAGTAAGGATATTTTTTTAATGATTAATGAGTTCAGCTAGCTTGCCTGGGAAAAGCTATAATTCAACCTACTTTCTTAAAAAGTCCTTCACCTACAGGACAAAATATCAGTATTGGTATGATTTATCTCCTGACTTATTAATGTTGATTACTTTCCTTGTTTCAGATGTAATCCCAGGTTTCTACTGCACTGCTGAACATTGGTGTCCTCAACAGTTGCGGTACAAAAATGCTTTATGTTTTAACTACAATCATCTCATGAATTGCTGTTGTTGACAAAGCAATCGTATTACAACTTTCGACTTAAACACTAACACTAAGATCACACTAACACTGATTTATAGGCTGTACATACTAATAATACTGTACATTAGTATACAAGGAGAATGAAAAATTGTGTTACAGTGATTTTTATCTAGGACGAATCAAAATTGTGGCTAGTGGCTATAGTGTTTCAAACATAGATGTGAGTAAGAGTTGGATCAATCGCCTGCCCAAAAAAATGTTAGGGGCTTGTATCCCCTTAAAGCATTTAAAGTTCACAGTTACACATGGTGCTGGTGTTTAAACTAACAATAGGGATGAGTAAATAATAAAATACAGTTACAGTAATTAGGGTCATAGCCAAAAAAGTCTTTGTACTTTTATTTAACACGAGGCTACCATATTAATTTAATATTTATTATTTATTTGTAATAGGCCCTACATGTTGAATATTACTATTTTTTTTTATATTTCAAACATATGAATCCATACTGATACTCCGTACAAAATAATTTGTAGCCTATGACTTAAGCCTGAAAATCTATTTCTAAAATTTATTTATATTTTGTTTTAAAAAATTTGTAAAGTTTTGTTTACTAAAATATGTCAATATTAACTAACACTAGGCCTGGATTTTGTAGGTATTACAAATTTTACGTTTTAGGACAAAACCGTTTGATGAAAAAACGACTACCCATTTATCACAAGTATTTATCAAAATCATAAACAATTTGGTTAGTTTTGGATTCAATTTTGATGTAAATGCAGCAATTTAAAAAAGGATTTCCAAACAACAGGAAATTAATAATCAATTACTTAAGAGCACATTGGGGTCAACCCTATTGCACAAAGAAAGATCATTTGATAAGACAGGTGTAATCTAGTGAATGAATTCTGGTCGAAGTATGGATTTTCTAATTTTAGAGCGAGAGGTCGACTCTAGGTCATAGTGCTGTATTGACGTAGGATCCTGCACGCGATCCAAGGACGGGATAGACTCAACGACCGATCCTCAACCCCAGTGCCAAGCGAGAGCTCAAGGAATGAGCAACTGAGAGTGCCGTGAAGTTTGAGTTCGAATTTGTTCTTATTATACGAACACATCAGTGCGTATACACATAGGTTTTATGTTTGTTTCAATAATGTCAGAGCAGAAGATAGCCGTTACCGAGCCTGACGCGGCCCAACGGACGGAAATAGTGAAGGAGATAAAGAAGAACGTCGCATCACTGAAGACGTCCATAGATCAGATCCTGCACGACATGGAGTACATAAGAACTACCAAGCTGGAAATTCTCGAGAAATTAGACTGTGTTAAAAACGACGTAGACAGCACTCAGATCCAAGCAACGCTCGGAAAAGCGAAGAAAATTATGAAAAAGTCGGAGGAAAACCGTCGCAAACTTGAGTTGGTGTTGAAGAAAATGAACGAATGCAATTTAGTACACACATTCACCTATTATACAGATCCGGATATTTTTAACTTTGATCCAAAGTCTAACGATGTTAAAAATGTCAAAGAAACGCAAATAGCATCGAGCCAGGAGAAAATTAAACTTCTTCTTTTAGAGAATAACAAGTACACGCTTACGGCTGAGCATAAGGAAAAAGAAGAAAAAGAAATGGTTAAGTCGAAATCGTGGAGGAGGGATTCTGCGTTGCGCGAATTGCAGTGGGCGGTGAAAATGAAATTGTACAAGCTACGACATCATTACGATAAACTACCGTTTGAGGAAGTCGAAGAAAGGACACTACTTCCGGTATCTTGGAGAAGACCTTCCGGCGAACGAGCGTGAATACTAACTTGAGAAGCCTTTGTAAAGGTTACCTCCACAAATTAATTACGTCGAATGCGGTGCTTGGTCAGTCGTGAATAATTTTGCTGAGTGAGTTTTCACGAAGTAATTTACATATGTGATGTATATTGGAGTGATAGTAAACTAAATGACAGGGAAAGATGGATAAGCAATTGTTTTTACTAGTAGTAGAGTAGAGGAGCCAAGGCCAAGAGATATCTTATTCTGTTTGCCTAAAATCATTGACTGATTCTGTGGGCTTAACATAGGTTCATAGGTTAGACCATTGAATATAGTTAGACTGTAAAACAAAAAGATAAAAAGGAAATATAGTACTGATTTGTTGCTTTATTTGTCATTTCACATTTTATTTGACTAGTTCTTTAATGTGTAGCTTCCAGCTACATTTTTTTTGCCAATTTCTTCATTATTGTTTTATTTTAATCAAGCAAAAAACGTACACAAACATTAAAGTCAATTTTTTTTAGTTGTGGAAATTTGTATCTTAACAGTAGAAACTCAAAGAACACATTTCGAAGCCTATTATAACCAGCCATAGAGACAACAAACATATATTTTTAGGTAACAATTGTTGAATGATTTTAAAAAAATCTTCTGTAGACCAGTATTTTATGTGCATTGATTATACTATATACATTTGAAAAATAATCCTGACCATTATTTTCATAAGAAATCTAGGCCTAGTTTTAAACAGGTTTCATACAATGATGAGGAGTTATTAAGTAAAATATATGCGGTTTTTGTTGGGGATTTTTCTCGTATAATTAATTAATTCTGATACGGTAATTAATTACCACCAAGCTCAAAATTTAATGTGGGTAGTGTATTACAAATATCAAGCATAACCTTTTTCCAAAAGTGCTGAAAATATTATTTCAAGCTTTAGCAAGGCTTGCTTAGTGGTCTGTTTAGTGGAAGCAAGATTTTGTTTGAATTACTGTTCCCTATTGGGCTTTTCACGTGTTTTCTGTATCCCCTATGTTATGTTAACATTGCATTGTGACTACACAATTGCTGAATGTCCAGAAATGTACCAACCCTTGAATTCTAGAACTGAAGGGTATGTAGTGAAAAAAACTAACTGGCTTGAAACTACAGTTGAAAGGTGGAAATAATAAAAAAACACATTTAACTGAGTGAACGAGTCACAATCATTTAATGTCTTACAATCTCTTTCCAAGAATCAATTGGATATGAAAACATAGATAAATAACAAGAAAAATTACAACAAGCAATGTAACTCAAAAGGGTAAAAATATTAGTTATACCACAAAGGAGTAATAAAGAGTTTATATTACTTTTCTGTGGTTATAAATAACAAAGCCTCTCACAGCTATCTCTACAAAGTATCAAAGTATCTAACAAAGTATCTCTACAACAGCTTAATATAATACATTCACAACACAAACTAATTTTAGAAGTTTAATTTTTAGAACTTTTTTACCAATTTTACATTTTGTATGTATAAGTTGCAGGTCAGGGTGATACCGGGGAAGTTCTGAAGCTAATGTTAACATTGCATTTCCCTTTTTTATTCCAATAAATTTTGTCCCAAAAGCTCCACGAGAAATCTTTAAAGCCTTGAGGGTAGAGCCCTAGATTGAGATTGAAATGAAATAGAGCTATGTTAATCTTGGATACCTAAAATTATCTATTTGTGAACAACCTCAGTTAATTTGGTCCAGTAGGCTTCCGATGATGGAAAGACTAAATAGACTCTTAATTTGTATATTCACCAATATACATATGGATAATATTAATGTAATGGCTCCCCAACCCTTTCACCCAAGGCCACAGCTTATCTTAGTAGAGACTATGTTTGGTTAATTGATCTGTTTCAAAAACTAAAAAAAACCTTGATTTTACAGCAGCATTTAACAGTATTAGTTGTTACATATTTGCATTTAAGACTAAGAGGGTTCCATCCACGTAAACATGGTCCTACAGAAAAGAACCTTGTGGATTTATTAAAGTATTTATCGAGTTATGATAAACAGGTTATTTCAACTCAATAAATCTAAATATATAAAAGGCAAAGCCCTCACTGACTGACACACTCACTCACTCACTCATCACTAATTCTCCCACTTCCTATTTACCTAGGAGGCTGAAATTTGGTACACTGATTCTTTAGGCATTAAATAGGAAAACTAAGTTGTTTTTATTCTGATCGTACTCTCGGGCTCCGCCCCAGTGGCTCTGGAGTTTCCCATGTTAACGTTATGAGTACTCATATTTAAATGGAATTAATGAATCTTAACAGCTGTTTCAATTAAACAAGTTGGTTCTGTTCTATGATGTTCAATAACATTAAAGTTACAAGGATTACCAACAGGGTGCAGCACTATTTTTTTTTTATTTATAACAACAGCTAATTTGCAAACCAAAAGGTGAGTGAGCGTAGCGAACGAAATTCAACCTGGAGGCAAGTTAGCGTAGCGAACAAGCTAACCTGAAGGCAAGTGAGCGCAGCGAACGAGCTCCAACCTGAAGGTGAGTGAGTGTAGCGAACGAACTTCAACCAGGACGTGATTGAGCCATGCGAACGAGCTCACTTATGAAGTAAAACAGGGCAAAGCCCGCGGGTACAGCTAGTACTTTAATAAAGCCAAGAGGTTCTTAAAGGTAATGAATATTTTATGATCACTATAAAATATTCAGAAAGATCCAAAATATGCACTGGATGAACTGAAACTTCGTAATTGTTTTTTTAAGTATTTATAAAATCATTTTGAAAATCTGTAAATTGGTCTTTTTTACATGGGACTTTAACTTTTAAATAATAGTTCAAAATTAAATGTTTTCCATCCATTGCAAGCTCTGATATGTTAAGAACACTAAAAGCACACAATCATTGAAAACAAATTAGTTTTAGAATGTTGAGAGCTTGTACAATAGATGCATGTTCAATGCCGAACTATAATATTATATTCCACATAATCTGCCATCTTGAATTGAAATTCAGGCTGCCGGGTAGATCCTTCTTAAGGTTAAGGTTCTAAATTTAAAATCAGCTGTGAGATCAGTTACAATCAATAATAATCCCAGCAGGGACTTGTACAAAATCCCTTAAGTATTTAAAACATTCAGTTCACAATAATGAAGTTTTTGTGTATTAGATAATCAATACAATTTCAGAACAGCATTTCTTCAAATCTTTATGTATCTCAAACTTGTTAGCATAACCATAGACAAAGAGAATTAAATATAGACTGTCAGCTGTACTGTGGTTACCATGGTTACCATAGTTTCTGGCGCAGACCGCTGGAAGCGCCCGTGTAGCTACATAGCTTTTATGCCGTAACTACATGGCGCTACCAGTGGTGTGCACCAGAAACTATGGTAACCGCATCACAGCTGACGGTCTATATTTAATTCTTTTTGTCTATGGCATAACTCAACTCAACTACAATTATAAAACAAACCAAACATGTTTCATGGTTATCATAATGTAAAACAAATCAAATAACCTATATCGTCAGCTTTTGTCTGAAAGATAACTAACATAAAAACAACTCACATTAATTTAAGTAATGTAAGAGTGCAAATAAATGCTAGCATTTATATTGACTATTGAGTGTATGTCAATTAAAACTAAAAAAATATAGAGTTTGAATAATTGATTCTATATTTTTATTATTAAATTTTGATGAGCAGTTAATTAAATCTGTTCACACAATATTGGTTTTGAAAGTATTAACTTCTGATTCATACACAAGCTACAATTTACCATGTTTGTATAACAAATAACCTGATGGCTCAGAACTAATATAAAATCTAATAAAAACAATTTTATAAAAATAAAACAAAAAATAAATATTTCACTAACAAAACAATACTAACCAAAATTAATGACTAATGGCAGCTCTAGCTAAGGTACTAAATCTTTCGCCCTGTATAGCTCATGACTAACAAGCACTAGTATTCCTAAAAGTGTTCTTAATACTAAAAATGCCACTGACTCGACTTAAAAAAGCAAATGAACACACTGTTTGATGTACAAATAAAACTATCAGTTCTATTCTTAAACGACATGGTATATTAGGTGAGGTCAATACTTCAGTATGATAATATTTTTGTTGGGCATCACTCACCTTATTGAAGTCACGAGAACGTAGTCCTTGTCATGTCACAATCATACACAGTTCATTGCACATAAAAATATACAAAAATAAAAATAAAAATAAATACAAATTTAAAATATCAGACAAAAGTTCTCAACACCGACGTTTCGCCGCACCAAAATCAACGTGCGGCGTTTTCAAGGTTATTTCTCTTCTCACGCAATCGTTGTGAGCGCCTAACCACGACTGACGACCCCGGTGGTGGAGGAGGGGGAGGGGGGACTCTGTTATCAAGAACAGCTGATGGCATTATCTTCTTTTGTTTAGATTTTTCTATGCATCCTTTAATTTCTTTCTCTATTACAATACACTAATAGAGAAAGAAATTAAAGGATGCATAGAAAAATCTAAACAAAAGAAGATAATGCCATCAGCTGTTCTTGATAACAGAGTCCCCCCTCCCCCTCCTCCACCACCGGGGTCGTCAGTCGTGGTTAGGCGCTCACAACGATTGCGTGAGAAGAGAAATAACCTTGAAAACGCCGCACGTTGATTTTGGTGCGGCGAAACGTCGGTGTTGAGAACTTTTGTCTGATATTTTAAATTTGTATTTATTTTTATTTTTATTTTTGTATATTTTTATGTGCAATGAACTGTGTATGATTGTGACATGACAAGGACTACGTTCTCGTGACTTCAATAAGGTGAGTGATGCCCAACAAAAATATTATCATACTAAAACTATCAGATACATTAACTACTAATACAACTTTGTGCACTTGAAAAAAATAACTGCTTAATCTGAAAAAAATACTTTCTTTTATGGGAATTGGATGATAGGTCTGGTCCATCCTATTTGCATTGCTATGGAGTATCGGCTCACTTACTCAATACTAATGTGTGGGAGAAGGGGGAAAGAGAGAGAGAGATTTACTCTACTAACAGGGGAGGTATGGAGGAGGTATTTTGCAGGGAAAACATGTTGCTATACTAGCGTTGAATTAGAGGGGGGCCAATAAGACAGTGTCAAAATCACACTAGATTTGAAATACAACCTATGACTTTAGATTAGTTTAGGTGAAACATTATTAGTTTGATGCTCAAAATCATGTCAACGAAGAAGTCTCAAGGCTGTAATTATGATGTCAAAAGCAGATCATTGAAGATTTAAAATTTAGTAACGGGACAAAGTTAACTCTCTAACTGGCCACTCTCTGTCATCCTTCAAACTTTCTCTTAATCTCTCCCCTCTCCTAAATTTATGAAATTGAACTTGAGGCACTCTTGGTGACCGTAACTACAGTTCTCATTTGAAAATCAGTCACTTTGAGCGACAACTGTTTTTACTTTAGTCAGGCCTATTGTCCAACCCCTGTTTGTAGTCAGAAAATTATAAACTAACTCAGATAAAAGTTTAAATTTTAATAAATTTAAGGTGTAAACTAATTTAATTTTATGTTTGACAATTTTGTTATCAAGCAATCCTTTCACTTTTAACTGAAAGAATAATTTCACCCAATATGTAGCATAAATGCTACTATAATAAAGTTACACATAGCATAACACCTCCACAGATTCAACAAACAATTAATTAATATTCAAGGAACATTTATGTTGACAGTGTACTTTGACCAATCTGATTAACATCCATAAACACAAATATGTGTTTGTTTAGTTGAGGACAAAATGTATAATTTACATTTCTCAAACCTGTTACAGTCAACTCTAATGTTTAAGATGAATCAACGTTATTTCTCATTAAAATTTTTTTGGTAGGTAACACTAATATACCAAATTGACTTAAAGGACTACCGTATTTGGTAAAGGGACTTTATTCACTCTTCTGATGGTCTGTCAATTCCTTCTTTTTCTTCAATGGATTGTTTTTGCACTCATTGTAGAGATTATTCAAATCAAATGCGGCTTTTACATTGTCCTGAAACAAGTGTTAAACTAATTAGTGAACAGAGAAGTGTTATATACATTGAAATTTAGTAGAATACAATAGGGTGTCTATTTGAGGAAATAAAGTACTACTATTTCCTATTTTACAATTTTCATTTATCTAATAAAAATAAAAAAAATAAATCATACCTCAGAGAAGAAGAACTTCTGAAGCTTTCCTTTAGCATCAATCATTGGTCTCCTCATAACTTCTTTGCCCTCTTTAAATAGAATCACTGTAGGAAGCTGTCTGCTCATGGGCGAGTCATTTACATAATACTTTTTCCCCGCATCTGGGTAACGTCCGATGTCAATCTTGCCAAAATTCAGGTTCTCTAGATGGTATCTAAAACAAATAATCCAAACATAGTACATGTCAGCAAAACAGTCTGGTTCCACCTTGTAAAATATGTCAAAGACTATCTGTAGTAAGAGAAAAAAATCAGTCTAAAACTAAAACACCTTTGTATCAGCACCTTGATAAATCTTATCTAATTCAACAAACATCTGAAATATTCTCATTTGAGCTTTTAAATATATCAATATATTGTTTAGATCAATACTAGACAGAAACAGGCATATTGATAGGCTGGAAAGTTGCCCTTTGTCGTGCCTACACACGGAAATAAAAACGTAATGTACTTTTATAGGTTCACTTAGTCAGCTGATGAAATAAACAGCTAACTGCAACGGCCTATTTTACTTCTGAAATATAAAAATATTATAATTTATTTTATGTCCTAAATAAATTGTGGTAAGAGATTAACACATAGGCTACATAGGTACTAATTTTTCTGTATAGTATGATGTACTTTAAAGTATCGTACTTTACTCGCCCAGTAAGCTTTACCCTACTCAAACAAAAACGCACGGGAACTGTCGTGCTCACACAGTAAAACACCACTTACCGTAATATACTATTATAGTGGGGATTATCTATAAGAAATTAAATAACTTTAGTGTCCTCAACATTTTTGTTTAATGAATTTTTTAATGATATAGGGCACCAAGTAGATGAGTTACAGTAAACAACCCTTTTAACTGAATCCCATAAAACAAAATCAGGGTTAACGAAAGTGAAACGCAAATGAAAAACCCTAACAAAAAACAGGATTACTGGACATTACAAGAGGTATTTTTAGCCTTTTGTTCACTTAACAAAAGTATGTTTGACAGTAAACTCACTCTACGGAGAGCTGGGAGAAGACTGGAGCGAAGTTGACACAAGCAGGGTTCCAAGCAGTGTAAAACGTCACTAGCCAGCAGATCTTCTTGTTCCTCATGATCTCGTCTTCAACTCCTTGAGCTGTTCGGAAATACACTACGTTTTCTGGCCCTTTGTAAGCAGGTTCTGGCAATAAAAGGCCAACCACTGCAAACAATATGTAGGAGTTTTAATGAAAGTGAAAATTTAACCTTTAAAAATATGTAATTTTAAATTTCTAAAAATGTTAGGTAGGCCTAATGTTTTAGTAATCTTATAAATCATACAGAATCATAAATCATGCGGAATTTTGAGCTGACATGATTGTTGTTTCTATAGCTCATTGTGAATAAAAGTTCTCTGATGTACAAATACATTTTGTAGGGCTAGTAATTTAAATATTATTCATAGTTTTCAATTTAAAACATTACCAAAGATTAACCCAATGTTGAAAGACCTACAATATCACAAAAAGTGTTTTTTTACTTATTCAGCAATTAGCAACACAAGACATATGCTAGACAGATTAAATGTCTGCAATGTCCTCATGACTAACTTTTAAGTAAATCAATTTTCCTTTAAAATCTTTCGAGACTATCCCTGCAGGCCTAGAACAAAAATATGTATAACAAATTATTTAGCCTTACTAAGCCTTTGATTTTGAGTACGACCAAGATATACTGAATTTACTGGCAAAGGTTAGGTGTTGAAGAAGTGATTGGTAAAATCAAAACCCATAGTTTTACTAATCATTCAATCATGTGTATGCTGTTTGAAAGCGACAATACTAGCAAGGCCAAAAACCTAGTTTTCAGTATTATGAGAGTAAAAGTGGTACATATTAAATTAAAACTTACATATCAAAAGTATCCCAAAAAATATTCCCATCCTAATGTCAGCATAAAACCACAGTATTAAATTTGCGACTTTGGTGTACATGAAACTTGAAGACAGATAATTGATCATTGTGACACTTCCAGCCTTCCGTGTTCGTATCATGACAACAATCATGAGGAAGAATAGGATTTCTGATTCTCTCTGGAACAAAGCAAGAAAAGGATAAGTTAGTGGGGTACAAGTAAGAGAGATCACACAACTGAATGTTGTTTTTTGGAATTTACTCTGAAACAAATAAACGCACAACAACACTTCAAAATACACTCTTGATAATTAAAAATTCATGGACCTAACAAATCAATTTCAATCATGGAGAGTTTTGAATTATCAAGAGAAAAACTTATCGTGAGAAAAAAAAACATTCAAATTTATGTAAATGTTCATTTTATAATTTTGTATAATGCTTTGAGTTTTCCACAGTGGCATCCACTCCAGCAATGTTGTAATTTTTTTACATTGTGGGCAAAGTAGTGAGGGGAAATGAAATGTTTTCACTACTTCTTACTTCACTCTAGTAGCCTAATCAAACTGCCAACCACACGATTACTGGACAAATTCAAAATTAAATTGATGTAGTACCTCATCAACAAAGCTATTTATTTTTTCAGTAAGTTGTAGCTTAGACAAAAAGAATTAAATATTGACCGCCAGCTGTGCTGCGGTTACCATAGGTTCTGGCGCACACCGCTGTGTAGTTATGTAGCGCGTACGCCGTAACTACATGGTGCTCTCAGCGGTGTGCGCCAGAACCTATGGTAACTCCAGCACAGCTGACGGTCAATATTTAATTCTTTTTGTCTAAGCTATAACTCACCGAAAGAATAAATAGCTTTGTTGAGGAGATATTGAAGTGTGCGCCAGAACCTATGGTAGGTATCTACAGCACGAGCACGGCTGACAGTCTATATTTTTACTTATTTTTGTCTACGATTATAGGATGTAGGCCTAATGTTAATTTTTACATTGTTAATTTTAAGAATCCTTGGAGCTGTTCCTGATCATTGTGATTTAAATAAATTATCCTGACTAATGAAACCACTGATCTTAGTCAGTAACAAAGCTACACAGGTACCATTCTACACTCATCCTTCACTCATACTTGGGTTAAAATACTCACCTAGGTGGCGTCCCTATCTCAATGATTGATAATTGATAATAATTTAAAATTGTTCAACATCTGTTGTAGACACTATTTATGTAGCCTATGTATTCTATGTTACAGACAAATAACTTAAAGATTCTTTGAATTTGAATGTTACCTTTAATAGTAAATTATAATTAGCCTAATAAAGAATTAAGAAAATCATGGCTTAACTTACCAACAAAAAAGCACTTTAGAAAATTATTATATTATTCATTGCATGACAGCTCACAGTAACAAATGTGTGATAAAATAAACAGACTGTTATTTAATTGCCAGGCAGCAAACTAACTAAAAAATATGTTATCTCACAAACCAATTACCGGTAACGAAATAAAATAAATAGTTTTGTGTGCAATGCCTAGGTTGCATGTTAGTAAAAAATACACATGCAATTCCACTCACACTAAATTGCTGGTAAAACCCACTAACTTAGACTGGTAAACTTGATTACGGACGTTTGTATCCTAGGCCGGCTGCAATTTAGTATCTGTCCTACACTCATTCGAATGAAATATATTGATTATAGATTATCCTATATATTAATTATTTCATTCGCATAGTAAGGTTAGGTTAACCTAACTAACCAAACTTGGTAACCTTATCGAAAGGAATAATCGATATATTCATTCGACTGCACTTAACTTTAGGTCCTACACTCATTCGAATGAAAATATCGATCGATATATCGGATGAAACAATCAAATAGGGCCTAATCGATATTTTCATTTGAATGAGTGTAGGACCTAAAGTAATGTGCAGCCATTCATTCGAATGAGTGTAGGACAGATAACTTAAGTTACTTAAGCGCAGCTCCTAGGTCCTAGCGTGGCCTACTGTAGTGTAAGTTACCGCTCAATCCCATGTGTAACACCTAACAAGAACAATGTAACGTGAGTGTGGCCCCTGCCTTAGGCTACTCTTAACATGATAGACAATTGCCAGCTTTATCGGCATTAGGGGATAAATCAAGGCCACACTAAAAAAACAGGCCGTAATGCTCGTGTAGCATGACGTCACGATAGAAGACGGCAATGACGTAATGTTTGCCGTTTGTGATCAGCTGCTTGTTTTAATCTTTTCAAGGAAAACAAAAATATAACCTGAAATACGTCATTGTTGTCTTCTATCGTGACGTCATGCTTGACGAGCATTACAGCCTGTTTTTTTAGTGTGGCCTTGGATAAATGGTGAGTCGGTGGCCCAAGGCAGCAATGTCGTGGTTCGGCAAGGTCACAACAAATTAGGCCTACCTTTCCTTTAAATCATCTGTAGATTGGACCTTAGGCCTAATATCTCTAGATTAAGATTTACTTACCGAATCAAATTCACACTGTGACTCTGATCGTGGAAATGTGTATTGACACAAGAAGGGTAACTTTTTGGCAGCAATATAAGATGCACTGAGTAAAATATTGATGTAGTAATAAGGCTTCATAAGAAGCCTGACGTCTTTGTTAATCTTCATTTTTACGCCTCTCCTACAATTGGCTCTGTACTACCTTAAATAACAATCAAGCCTACTCAATGCTGTAGATTAAAATAATTCTCATTAACAGTCGGAATTCGCTTTACAAAACAAAAATTTACTATAACAATTAATTAGACCATACAAACTACAAATGAAATGAAGGTAATATTGAGGTTATGGCTGTTGTTATTTTTATGAAATGTGAAAACAAGAAGAAAAATAAATTTAGAGGAGCAAAACAACTAAATTCAATTACGAACAAAGACCTGCAAAATTTGTTTTAGGTTAAGACGCAGCTCAATGGTTGGTCATGCATGATTTCATTAAAGCGAACTTTGAATTAATGATTTCTAGTAAGCACTCCACAGTGACCACAGCCAAAGTCTTGAATCTTAAATTTATGTTTTTTTTTACTAAATTAGCGTAAAATTGATTGTTTACAAATTTTATTAGTTGCATCATTGACTATTGGATACAAACTTCAGTAAAATTAGAAAGCTGCATGGTTCATGGTTAAAGCCCCAAGGCAAATCAAAACAGTGATCAAAACGCCTGTTTTTTTTTATCATAAAAATAGTTTTATTAATTGTAGGTTATGTTATTGTTTGATGTGACTTAACTTACGCCTATCTGCATTTTAATTCATTTATGTTTATTTAAATGCAAGCATAGTTAAAGTGGGGTTTTAAAAGTATTAGGCTTTAATATGGGTTATATAATTTTAAATAATCTTTCCCTTTCACAATAGGTATTTAGGTTAGGCCTAGGCCTACCTTAGATTTTATGTTATAATTAGGATTTTTAACCCTCATAGGTTTTAACGAACTACAATTGTAATTAGGGCTATAATTGTAAGATTTATTTATTAAGATGTATACAACGGGTTGTAAATTGTTTTTTTGTCAACACATTTTATCGAAATATAAAGCCATTTCCAAAAATCGATTTATGTCAACAAATCTTCACTCTTCCATGAACATTTTTGATAGAAATGCAAAGTTAAAACAGAAGGAAAGAGCCGGACGAATGGAAAATGTAGATACGTACGACTATTTAAAAGATGAAATTGGTTATAGGTTAGCGGATAGAGTTTTTGATGTTAAACGGACTTTCAAGTGTGCTCTTGATCTTGGATGCAGTCGGGGGTATGTTTCCAAAAATATCATCCGAGATTCTGTAGAAAAACTTATTATGTGTGACACTAGTGAAACATACTTATATCAAGCGAGTCCTCCTGAAGATGGTGTTGAGGTGGAACGGTTGGTTGTTGATGAAGAAAAGTTACCCTTTGAAAGTGACTATTTTGATCTTGTCATTAGCAATTTATCTTTACATTGGGTAAATGATTTGCCTGGAGCATTTTCCCAAATAATGAGGGTCTTAAAAAATGACGGAGTGTTTTTGGCCTCAGTGTTTGGTGGAGATTCATTATATGAATTAAGGTAACTTAACTCAGTTCTTTATATAAGCCTTAAATTTATTGATATCTGCAACTAACCATATGTATTATGGCAAAATAGAACCTTGATCCTGACCTTGGTTCTTTGATTTTTGTTCTTACTGACAGCATTAAAAAATTAGAGATCTGACTTAAAAGTTCATGGGGTATCTTTACCCCTAGCTGAAGAACTTGAGGTTTGAGTCAAATCTCTAATTTTTGTAGTGTTGAGCTACAACTTGGCTTAAATTCACATGCAGCTCGTAAAAATGCCCAGCCTCACCCCACTTGCGAGAATTGCGCCGATTTTCTACATTTTGCTCCAGATTCATAGGCAAGGCGATTGTGGCCCGGAAATCTGTAACGTAGGCCTACAGGTTGTTATCAGTCCGGCAACACGGTCAACTAAAAAATCAGCCAGTCGCTTGTTGTTCTCCTCAGGGGTCAAAGTGTCAGCGTGAGTTGTGTTGTCGTAGTTTTTCTTTCATAGTTTTTCTTGCTTTTTACCATGGCAGTGGCAGAGTTTGATACTGAACTGTTTATAAATGAAAAGAAAATTGCCGCAGCTGTATGGTAAAAAATTGAAAGAATATCGTGGCAGGAATTTGAAGGTAAACAGGTTCTTCACGTAAACAAGTGTGCAGTTTATAAAACTGTTCATTTAAGAGTCTCTGACTTACTATAGGATGAACCCAATATTTAGCCTATATGTTGTCTTATTTTTTTTCTTAGGCCTAAGTTAATTAGAAGAGCACAAACACAGGTTAATTCTACAAAGTAAATTTTTTAAGGATAGCTACGCACTCGAAAGCATCCATTTCTCAACTAAAAAATCGCCACTTGTGGTTGATCGAAAAATCTACCGTGTGCGCCAGGCCATAGGCTTTTACTGCATGTTTATGGCTAAGGAAACGACTTATCTTGGTCAGTAGCAAAGCTACATAGATCATCTCACACCATTCTAAGTTACACTCACGTCTTCATAACTTATTCAGCTTTAAATACGGATCCATGTGCGCCGATATCAAGAACTAACCAGCGACTTTCAGATTTGAAGGCGAGCACTATAACTACTCTGTTACCAGACAATTATTTACGTATTTTTAATCAAGAAATATTGTTTTTTAACGTTTTAGATGTTCCCTACAACTGGCAGAGTTAGAGAGGGTGGGAGGAATTTCCCCTCACATTTCTCCGTTCACAGCTGTTCAAGATATTGGCAGCCTCCTGAACAGGGCTGGATTCACAATGTTGACGATTGATACAGATGAAATAGTTGTAGGATATCCTTCAATGTTTGAGCTCATGTGGGATTTAAAAGGTAAGCTTATGTTGATGTGCTCATAATTCTTTGAAAGTAAATACAGTGTGTATTTTTCATTCATCTTGGTAATATCAGAGATATTTAATTTGGCTTTAAGTGAAGAATATACAAATTTCAGTATGTTCTCTGAATTATCTTTATTTACCTTAATTTAACACTCAAATGTTAGACTCTTAAAAGTTAAAGCACTTGAACTATACTCGGGAGTTAAGGTAGGTTATTGTAAATAATAACAAGAGTTACATTAAAACCGCTCAACTTTGTGTGGACTGATGAGGAGGAGATTTTTTATTTAAGCAGTGGGGGGAAAGGTGGCTCTATGTGGCGACTAATGAGTAATGGCGTTATATTACATCATGGGAATGGCCACAAGCTTCTTTATTTAAAAACATCACCTAGTTTCATGTATTGCCAATATACAATATATCAGATTATGGTAAAAAACTATCTTCAAATATTAGCACACAACACTATAACATAAAAGATTTACGACAATTGTGAAATCAGTTTTTAACTCATGTCAAATATAGCTCAAAAACAAAAACTTAAACTGTATTTTTCAATTGTTTGTGTTTGGCAACTACTGGGAAATACTTTACAACTTATCCAACAATCTTATAAAAAAAAATAATAATAGGTAGGCTATTACAAAATTATTTGGTGTTTTCAATCACACTGATTATACGACGTTTGATGGAACCTGTCTCTTGACCCTCCGTCTATCTAGGGACTAGCCATTAGTTTAAGGTCAGTTCCAGGGTAGATGGTTAGGAAACCAATTTCATGATTCAAACTATAATTAACTAATTGCATTTTTATATTTCAACTAGACCTAGTTGTAAATTCTAGGTATGGGTGAAAGTAATGCAGCAAGAAACCGAAGTCTACATCTAAGTAGAGAGAAGATGCTAGCTGCTGCGGCCATCTACCAGGAGCTTTACGGAGAGAAGGACAAAGTTCCAGCTACGTTCCAAGTCCTCTACATGGTTGGATGGAAACCTGATCCAACGCAGCCGAAACCAGCAGCTAGAGGTTCTGGTGAAGTGTCTCTTAAAGACCTCTACAGACTCGACGAAGTTGTTAAAGACATTAAGAAAATGCCTTTGGATGATGGTGATAAGAAAAAATAGTTTTTTGTTTGGACAAGTTATGTAGACAAGAATATATTTCCGTGTTAAGAATCTAATCAAATGTATTGTTTTTCTGTTTTACATTATTAGAACAACCCTTATCGTCTGTGAAACCTGTAGCTACTTATAAAAATAAACACCCGACACCCATTTAAAAATATTATCAGAACACTACTCATGGCTTGCTCCTCAGTTGTTTAAAAGTCAATTAAGATCCAGTTTTTGTCACAAATGATGGAACGCCTCTAGATAGAGTTAATTTTGTCATGCCCATAAAACAATTTTTTATCTATGCTATAATATGAGCAAAGTTTGCGCACAATGATTTCAAAAACCGCTTCTATGATTTCCTCCAAATTGTTATAAATATCTTAGTTTTGGGTTAAAAACAATATCCATGCTAGCCACTGTTCTGGGAAAGTTTGTTTTTCGTAATAAAATATAAATTAAATTTTAATATAGTCCTATGGAAAGCTAGGTAGCCAAGACAGCTTTAAGAAAATGTAAATAAATGAAATGTAACATATGCTTATGACAAATCATTTACAGTACACCAGCAAATTACTAAAGACAGTAGGCCTACAAAAGAAAAAGATATTCGTATGAATGCCATTTAACAATGGGTTATTTAATAAGCTTGGGATGTTTCTCTAAGAAAATAAAATAATTGCGATTGTTCAAAATCGTATAATATTTTACCACAAAAGATTAACACTTTATAGCTGAACTAAGAGTATTGAGGAAACACCAACCAAGGACTTTCTGTTGACGTTGTCCAAATCGTAAAGATGACGTAGTGATTATTAGTATTAGATTCCATCCAGTGACGCGCTTCTTTTATGTTTTTGATCCATACCGTTTCTGTTCTAATATCTTGATCCCATTATAGCACACAACTTTACGATGCATCTAACGGTAATTAACTAGGATCCCTTACTACTTCCTACGTCATGGACCTGTTTCCCTAGCTCCCTTCCCATAGCATTTTAGGATTGCCGATACATTAATCTATCTAATTGCCACAAACGGTTCCCACACTCAGCAGCTTTAGCCTTTACTACTTCCTTCACCACTTCCTATATGTCCATAGACCTTTTTCCCTCCCTTTTCTACAGCATCTTAAGATTTGCAAATACATTAATCTAACTGGCACAGATGGTTCCCACATACCACACTGCTGGCCTTTAGCCTTTACTACTTCCTTCACCACTTCCTATATGTCATAGACCTTTTTCCCTCCCTTCCTACAGCATCTTAAGATTTGCAAATACATTAATCTAACTGGCACAGATGGTTCCCACATACCACACTGCTGGCCTTTAGCCTTTACTACTTCCTTCACCATTTCCTACTTCGTGGACCTGTTTCCCTCCCTTCCTAGAGCATTTTAAGAATTTAAGATTGCAGATGCATTAATCTAACTGCCACAAACGGTTCCCACACTCCGCACTGACAGCCTTTACTACTTCCTTCACCACTTCCTATGTCATGGATCTGTTTCCCTCCCTTCCTAGAGCATTTCAAGATTGTAGATATATTAATATAACTGCCACAAACGGTTCCCACACTCAGCAGCTTTACCCTTTACTACATCCTTCACCACTTCCTACTTCCTACGTCGTGGACTTGTTTCCCCCCTCCCCATAGTATTTTAGTATTTTAGATACAATATATTATCTAACTGCCACAAAAGTCTTCCACACTCCGCACTTCTTGCCTTTACTACTTCCAAAAACGATTTACACCTTTATGTCCTATCGGGATTTCTCGATTTCCTCAGTTCTAATATTAAATACCTATGCAACCAAAGTGAAAATGCGTAGTTCCAAATGAAAGACTAACTTGATTAAAAAACTTCAACAATATTTAAAGTATTTTTCCAGGTGGCAAATAATGAAAAATAAAATCAACATGCAGTCTTTGCACTGATCTATTATGATCTAGAATTGTGGATAGTTATAGGCTTGTACTGTGGATGTGATACTCCCTGGTGTGGATTAACGTCCGCAATAATGAGTACTACGACTATCCGCATTACTATCCTTATGATTGATCAATTCTTTAATCAAGCCAAAAATGTGGTTCAGATTCCACTATAAACTGAAGGTCGCCTTAAGGAAGGTAATTTCCCTTTTTAAAGTTCTTTGAAAATAATGTGCTACCTATTAGATAGGGATTGCCGTTTACAATTCTTAAGTTACCCCCGGCAACCCCTATTTGGGGGGGGGGTGAATTTAAAAATACACCAAAAAGTACTTTACCGTAGTAACGTGTATCGACGAAGCTCGTTTGAATAAATGCAGCCGTTCAAAATAGGTATTAACCAGCGGGGAATATTATGGCACCCGGTATATTTAGCCTACATTTAACAAAATAGGCACGTAGCACCATCAACATAGCTTATCACCGCAGGAAACCTTCGTTCTATATGTGTATTCCCTTTGGATTGGAGAATATCTCTAGTTTCCCTGTGAAGAGTCCCGTCAGCAAAAAAAAACCTATTGCAATCAACACTTGTTTCCATTTCGGAATGCTGCTGTGTGGGGCTCTTTCATTATAAACCCTTAAATCCTGGAGACACGTAATATATCAACGTAATATCGTATATAATAACGTATAGATTAAATTATCCTGAAACTCTCAACAGATAACACGAGAAAAGGGGGGGGGGGAGAAAGTGCATGTGGTGCTTGTAAAATCATCTAGGTATTCCCACAGAGCATGTGGGTATTCCATGATAACGATGCGCACAAACCGACTTCAAAACAACAACTGAGCCATGTTCCATCTTGAACACCTTCGGGCTCGGGGATCGTGGTGATATCGTAAACGTAACATCACCCGCAATCACGAAGATCTTCGCCCGCTATCCGTAATCCGTCGAAATTATAATCTATCATTTCTCATGATGACGGAGATATATTGTCATTGGTTCTCGCATCATCGGAAACATTTTTGTTTTGCTAGATCTCATGATTGCGATCTTCACGGTCAGTGAAACATAATCATTGTCTCGGCGGCATGAACATCCCTCCCTCGGCTATTATTGTGAAGACATCTCAGCTGAACCATATAATCATAACAATTACCAGTGAGCTGATTAATACATTGCTAAAAACCCCGAAAACCTTCACCTTAAACCACCAAAATGTTGTGAACCTACTGTAATAGGCTCTATATCACTATCAATTTTGATCCCCCATTACATAGCGACACCCATCTCACTTTCCCCTAGCTACGACCCTGTTTATGGATCGGCTGAAGACAATTTATAACGTTTGTTCCGTCCATCAAATCCCAAAAAAGCTATAAAAATGTAATAAAATCATCGTAGTGCATCCTGTATTTTAATGACATACAATAAATTACTCTCGTATTATATTATTACCATACTATTATTACATCATTACAAGTAGAAAATTTAATTTGTTATGTGGTGGAATCGGGCTTATCCCAACTCCGCGCAGTGGTAGAAATCTGTCAAAACCGACTGTCCAACTCCGCGCAGTGGTCACTTCGGATCCCTCGCGGCACATGTCCAACTCCGCGCAGTGGTCAGTTTTGGCTCTCACAGCCCTGACGGCTGAGAGTTGGTGTTTGAACTTTGAAATTGTGTTATAGCCTACTTCATATTATGTTTATCATTTATAGGAAAGGAAAAGGGATAAGATATACCTAAAACAGGAGATGAAGCTTAAAAACCACTAATGTAAGAAGTTTTAAGAAGTCCGCGAGAAAGAGTGACTGTGAATTTATACGTTCCAAATTCTACTATAGTCAATCATTTATATTACTGGGCTTATGCGCTCTCTGAACTTTAGTACCAAGTTCAAAAGTATTAGTTTTGTATACAACCTCAGATTGCTATAACAAATTAGCTGTAATCTCTGTTTCATACAACAGTTAGCTACACTCCTCAAATTGGAATAAATTGCCGACAAACTTCTATGTTTTTTTATGACTTGCAATACAAAATTATATCAATACTTAAAGCAGTATAGGAATTTTAATAAAACATCAGACTTAAAAATTGACTTTGTATTTAATTACTCTACGTAAAAATATTCAAAATTCCAGGACAAGTGAGCCAAAATTGGTGGTTTTTATCAAACATTAATAAGAGTCCTAAAACACAGATTTGCATCAAATTAATCATCGTTAACATAAACATCGTGTATATTATTTACAAAACAAACAACAACAAAAAAAGAACAATCCATTTAAATATCTGGACTAAAAATCAAATACAAATTATTAGCCTACTAAAATTGAATCGGTAAAATCATTTACAAATTTACAAAAGTTACACTTATTTCAAACCATAATAAATTTAAATTAATATAGTTAAACAATAATTATAAGCTTTAAAATGCGAAGCAATATTAACCTTAGTAAAACATTTTACAATCGTAAATATTTTATAAATCACAGTACCGGTAAGTAATATATCTTATTAATTTTACAGAAAAACTAAATCACATTATTGGCACACCTCAAAAACAAACTTATACTTTAAATTTGATTACAAAAAGAATTTTTAAATGTTTCCTTTGTTAAATGTTATTGGAAGAGATTATTAAGTTTTATTATTCATTAAAAAGTCCATTGTAGCCACTTTTAGATGCAGAGCAACCTTTTTTTACAACAAAAAGGTTACAGAAAATTTGCAGTAAATTGCTGCATAAAAAGGTAAAATCCATGATCGCAGCGCACAAGTGTAACGTAAAGCTCATGAAATCGTTAGTAAAATGTATTATTAAATAATTGTGAACTGTGAATTTCAGAATCTTTCATACGTACCCATTCTTCGCACGGACTTTTTTAACTTCTTACATAGTGGTTTTTAAGTTTAACCTCCAGTTAGTTGTGAATCTATAATTTTACTTGTATAATAAGCTTAAATATTTCTTTTACGTCTTATTAAATGGCGAATTTGACGTCGATGAAGAGGATTTTTATTGAAGCAATACCCAGACCCAGAATAATTTAGTATATCGAAGTGTTATTATGCGCTATAATAAATACAGAAAAAATGACAAAAAATTTTAATTTTATAATTCCTATGTTATTCTTATCGAGAATAAGCAAATTGTTTTAATTTAATGTAAAAGGAGTGTATTTTGATTAAATTTGGAAATGCATTTATTTTACACTAAACTATTGACATTTCACAAAAAAACACTTACTACCCTGCCTCTTGCAGCAAACCTATGTGTACTCACTAAACTAATGCTATTTAAATGGGGAATAAATAGTATATTTTGAAAGATATATTTTACTGGTAATGCAATCAGGCAATTAGAAGTTCGCTTAGTCTGCAGTTTTGCTGCGGCGGGGTTATTATTGTAATAACAGCAGCAAACTTTTTGGAAACTTCAACTCACGTCCATGCAAATGTGATGTAGCCTTTGTTTTAGTAAAAACTTTACCAAAACAACTACCGTAGATATTAGGAGTGGCCAACGCGCGGAGTTGGGCTGAACCCTTCGGGGGCCATAAAACTTTTCCTCGGATTAAATTTGACCACTGCGCGGAGTTGGGCAATCCCCGTGGAATCGACTGTACCCCTCAACCTTACTTTGCTAAACAAACCCCGTTGATTTAAGAGGGCAGTTTATTTTCCATATACACTTATTTTAGTATCGTAATTTTTGTATATAAAATTAAAAAAAAAACTTTAATATTGTATTATGAGTAGGGATTTTAAAATAATTTATAACTGTTCAATAATTTATAAGTGATAATATCGCTAAATTTTTATATTGATTTAATTTCTTATACAATATGACGTGAAAATTTGTTAAGACGTTGGCACTTGGCAGTCTCTGGATTAACCAAGTCAGCTGTTCAGGATTTGATGAATCATGCATGAATGATGCAGGGTCAGCTGTTAATATGCGTCGTCGTCAGACAACGAGTCAACCTGTCAAAAAAAGCTGTTTGGCCTTCAACTTCATCTTCATATAGCTAAGCCAACAAGAAAACCAGAGGGAATCCATCTATAATTTACAAACTGCTACGAGTTCAAAGTCCTTTACTTGATAGTCCTAATAGCTAAGTTAATTAATTATTAGTTTTTTGAAGAGGAAACAAACGTGTTGCGTGAACCGTGAAGTCTCAACTCAAATCAGAATCTACAGAGCTTGTTCACCAAGGTAAGGTTAAAGTAGATTTCACCACACAGAAAATTAAATTTGCCACTTGTAATAACGTAATGATAATACTGTGGTAGTAATATAATATGAGGGTAATTATTATATGCTATGAAGAATAGGAAAAACAACGACCAAAATTATAATTTTCTATTTTAATTTTGGGATTTGATTATTGCATTTTCTCAACTTTTAGAACTGATGAGACTTATTGGTTGTTATTGGATAACTATTTATTGGGGAGTGTGAGACCAGGTTAACAGTTTGTTGTAATTGATAACAAGTTTAGTGTACAGTAACACACACATTTTCTTTAGTGGATTGAACACAAAAAATATTTACCTAGGCCCTAACGTTTTTTCACCCTGGTTTTTTCAGGGTGGGCTATTTCAAAGGTTTTTCGGTTTTTCATTGTTTTAGCTATTTGATGAAACACACGCAACTACATGTAAGTTAATTTTGCCTCAAAATATGACACATCCCTCGGATATTGTATAGATTTTAGTAAGTTAAGGTTGACTTTTAGATACTGAAGTAGACACCCATCTATTTTAACCAACTAACTATCTACCATTAAAAAAAAATAATTATACTACAGTAGGCCTAGGGATAAGTTAATCTAGCATATTTTATCTACTTTTTTATTTTTCTATCTACCTTAAAAATTATATTTCATTCCTTTGTTCGTGTTACTTTTGATACTGTGCCACTAGTTTAAGTGTCCAGTGAATTTAAAACATACTGCTGTGTACTTGACAATTTCAAGTTTTAACTGAAATGGGGTACAGTTTCTTAACTGGGCTACGCTAATATCAAATTTAAAATATTGATTATAATCAATATTTTAAAATAGGTATATCTATTATATAAAATTAAACTATCATAACCTAACCTAACCAACCAAACTTGCTGATGGTGAAAAAATCATACGGAGGTTTACTAATCGAATCGATAGTTTCAATCGATATTAGTGTAGCCCAGTTATACCCCTGAAAGGATTAAATAGACATCAGCACCCGTGTTTCCACATGCCCAAAACCAATATTCCTCTTGCCGGGCTGAGATAATCCCGTTAATACTACTGTTCTTTAGTGCTTTTATAAGGAATTAAAACTTATCCTGTTTTGTCCCACTCACGAATCTTAAAGTGTACAACAAATTAAAACAGTTGTTTTAACCTTGGTATAATATTATTTTGAAATAGTTCAATTACCTGGGGGTTGGTTTTTATCTGAAAATCTGTAAAAATAGAAAATTAGGTAATCAGTAAAAAACTTACTAAGTTACAGCGTGAATATGGATAAGAGATGTCTACTGCTATGTAAAAGGTTGTTGGTTAAAATCATTTATGGAATAGGCACTAGTTCATGTTTAATCGCAATTATCTCTTTATTCAATTCAATAAATTAAACTATCGGCTAGGTCTGTAAACACAAAATGCCTCTACGGTATTAGAAAACTGATTAAACCTATATGACTATCCTAAGCTTTAAACTTATCTTGTAGTCTAACAATGATAGATGTATGAGTTAATTGTTGAATCCTTTACATTTAAGTCAATATTTTTATCTTTATATGTAGCCTACCTAGTGTTCTGTAAATTAAAAAAATATTGCTACAGTAGGTAAGGTAGGGCCTACTACAAACCTGACATGATGTGGATCGGAAGAGTGTCGATTTAAGAAATACCAGGTTTTATCGGTAACCAAGATCTGTAGTTGCCACCAGGGTCGTAATCAACACTGGAGAAAGATATCCTTTACATGTTAGCTGATAAATCCCACACAGTTCAGGTAATTTCAAATTAAAATTTGTTTCAGATGACGTTTTTACGATATGTGGCAGTAGCTGTTCTGCTCTGCGTTAGCTGTTCCGGTAACCCACATCCTCATTATATCATTGATTCTGCTCCATATGTTCATCCTCTGTCTGATGATTTCATAGATTATATCAATTCCATGCAGACTATGTGGAAGGTATGTCATATGTCAAGAGTTTGAATAGTTTGATGGAATATGTAAGCACTATTCAAAAGCTGGCTACACAAATATTTCCGAGTGTAAGAATTCAGAATACTGTAGTATAGTCCGCTTACACACACATAGACAGCACTGCGGCAGGTGTTCTGCTTGTGTACGGTCTACCTTATTCACTCAGTTTTGTGGAAACTTGGTCTATTTCGACTGTGAATACTATTGCTCCGAATTGTGATTTTTGTTTTGGCCTAGATTTAGTTTGGAATTTTGAGAGCTCGGAATCAAAATTTGTTACGGAGGGTCTAACCACTTGGAATTAGATTTACTCATAATTAATAAGTACCTACTCGGATAATTCAACTCTGTTTTTTTGCTTATTCAACACTAAATGTGAGGCAATACCACCGCTCACACATGCAAAGCTATACGTTGCCGGGAGCCCGAGGTACCGCTGTGACGTCACAGCGGCAGAGTGGAGGGGAGCCAGCTGGCATCACTTTCTGAGCTCGCGTGGCCTAGCCCTTGTATATCTCTAGCTCTGGTTTTCATCACTCTGTATTACGAAAATAGCCCATTTCCATTCAGCTGTGGTCTTTGAAAATTTTCAATTTCCATACACCAAAAAAAAAAATAGTGATCAGCCAACTTTTCCTGACACAAACATTACTTTCGCTATTCGCTACATACGGTAATTAACAATTTGCCTGACATCAAGAAAGTTAAAATCAGCTGAATTTTACACCAAAATTATTTGTACAGCCGTATTGTGTTTAGATTAGAAAAATGAATAGATTACAAAATATCGGATAATTTTTTTAACCCTCCGAGTGTCCATAGTTTAGGCCTTAATGTCCGCCTATTTTTGGCGCATTTGCAAGGTTTTATTAAAACGGATCTGAAAAGCTTAAAACAATGTTAATTCTACTGTTCTATATGCCATTTTGTTTGGAAAATCATGGGCTTCAATATCATACATAAAACCTAAGAAAAATTTGTTTCAAAAAAAATTTTTTAGGTAAAAATAAAAATTATTTTGGAAAAATTGAAAAAAAAATAAGTTCGCGCTCAATGAAATTGTATAAATTATAGGCCTATAAATATTTGAAAATAGCCACTTTGTTCTAAATTTTATGAGGATTACAAATATATAATAATATAAGGAAGTAGATTTGCAAATAAATAAGTTATGGGCAAAAAACAGATTTCAGTACATAGTGTTTAGCTAAGAATGCATAGCCTAACCATAGCTAGGAATCTGGCTGATAATTTACATCAATATCACTACCTACTTCTTCAGGATCATCAACCAGCCCTTCAAAATCACTTAAATCTTCTTATAATGCACCACGTATATCACTACTTTTGATTATTAACACTAAAACAATGATAAACATAATAAAACACATCAGTCATCGGTCCGAGGTTAACTAACCTGTTTACAAATATGCACGTCAGCTGTCTGCTACAATTACGATCGGCTCGGAGAACATAAAGCGCTTAGAGACAGACCTCTGGAGAAAGCTTAGAATATAATGAAAAGAACGATACCAAACTCGATCCAGTTCAATCCGATTTTGTCAGTCATAGAGCCTTCGCTGTAAACAGTGTTCGTGAGTCGCTGCAGCGACGCATGACACTCGGAGGGTTAAGTCCGATGAAGTAGTTTTTTCATTGTGATAAAAAGTATCGTTCAATACTCATAGCGAAGGTCTCATTTCGGGGCTCAAAATGGGTCACTTTTGTGACTAGTGACTAGTAGTGAAATATACTATTTTGCCACACTGTTTGGTTTTCCTTGAATTTCCACACTTGGATTCAGTTCGAAAAACAACTTTTTGACACCTCTTTAATCAAAAGGGATTTCATCAAGTATTACTGTACAGTAATAGATTTTTCCTCACACTAGGTGATTCTAAACATGCTTAGCTTAGTTATTAAATTCTGATACATTTATGTAATAAAAATAATTAACTATCAACATAAATACCTATACTAAACTTAGTGGGCCTACTAGGCTATAACCTAAAGTAAAAATAGTAAAAAATTAATATTCTAATGGTAGTGAATTACAAAAAAAATACCATTCAGAGAATTTGTGAGTATTTAGTGAACGTTAAGTTCTTAAGTGGGTATGAACATAATGACAGCTGATTTTAACAGTTAGGTTACGGTATATGAAGAAATATCCATACTCGTTCAATACGGTTTTACCGTGTAAAATTTAAAAACTGTAAATTTGCTACGCTGATTACTGTTGCTTTTATTAGTCATTTGGAAAATATACCGTAACGTCACTTAAGTTTTGAAATTGCTAGATAAACCGGTTAGTTTTGCAATCTTTCCATTCCTTGAACCCTGATAAAGCATAAAATGATTTAGCTGTTAAAATGACTCACAAACATGGGATAATGTTTTTTGTTCCTCTAAGATACGTATAAAGTGACTCTATTTCAACGGAAATAACTGATAAGTTGTTCGGAAAGGGATAAGAGTTGACTAATGCTAGCCTAACAATGTCTTCCACTTAGCCCTAACAAATCAGCCTTATTATAACAAGAAATAGTCTCTGAATATTTTGCCTATGTGCATAAAGTATTTTAACAAATTTGTATATATCCTGGATCTTACTCATTCAAAATTTGTGTGCCCTCAAATTGATAAATAAAAAAAATCTCAAAAACAATTTATGCTGAGAGAAAATAAAATAATTAACCTGTAAGATATTGAGTGAGAGAGTATTTTAAATTATTGCTGTAATCTTTACCAAGCAAACCAAAGGTCAAGGTAATGGTGATAGGCCATTGTGTTCCCAAGAAGTATAATGAAGATAATTTTGTTTTGAGAGAACAAACCATTTTAATTACAATTTATTTGATATTGTTTGGTCAATTCATGGTTAATATTCCATTGCGCTTAGTGTAAAACTAATGAAATTCATTTAAATCAACCACAATAACTTGTAATTTTGAAGAAGGAAATCTTCAATTGTGTAATAAATAAAAAGATATTTTTTGTATTAAAATTTTTAACTTATATATACAATTTTTTTTGCTAGATAGAACTAGCAATTTTTTTGGTTATGTGCTAGAACTAGAATATTATGATTTGTGACATATTAAACCAACCTCCCAAACAACCAAGCTCTTTGTGAGGCCGCCAACCTCTAAAAAAATATGTATACATATAATATATGTGCTTTATTATATTTTTTTTACTTTTTCTATAAACCTTAACAATTTTTACCAGTTCTTACAGCTCTACTGGTTTGATATATGTTTAACATGAAACAATTTCAATTTTAGTTTCATACAAAAATAATACTTTGATGTAAATTGACAGTAGTATTTAGTACCATAACCATGAGTGTGACTGAACATTTATAGCAATGGTTATTCAGTGACAGTTGTATGTTAGGTTAGGGTGAGCATTGAATGGACAAGACAAACATTTTGGTCATTTATTGACAATCCAAACTCTAGACATTTATTTCTTGGTTTTGGAAACGGGCTTAGGACACATTGAATCTCGTAATATGCTATAAACACAGCCTGACGATGGAAACCTAGTTTCCGAAAGCACTTGTGAATTAAACAATTTACCTATATATTGGCCTTTTTGAACATTTAAATATTATACATTTCACAATTATGCCATGTACAATTTCAGAATCTAGGAATGATGATAGACTATTTAAACTAATAGTTAGTCACACAAATAAAAAAAGACGGGTTTTCCTCATGGAACAAAGAAAACCAATCACTACAATCATCTAAGAGTACAATAGATTAGAACATTGTCAACACTCTTTCAACTGTAAATCTCTACAATCAGTCACTTAAAAAAAGTCTATTTCACTATTTTTAATGTAGGTTTTTGCTGCTTGTAGTTTTTTATTGATACACAGTATATATATCAGCATACGCTTATAGTCTACTGTAAAAAAATGCTATGAGTATTTTTCACTTCTACACAGTGGCATTTATTTTAAAAATCATTGTTATAATTGTAACTATGGTCGTTTATAAAGTTGTGTTACCCTGTATTTATTTATTCTATAGTTTGTTCAAATAACAGAGACGGTCGTAGATGGGACTTAATGAATAAGGTTTGTATTCATTTGCCTCAGGTAGGACCAATCCCAGACGGCCTTCATTATTTAAACAAACTATAGTCCCGGTGCCTTGGGTGACAATTAATAGGATTTTACTAAACAATTAAAAAAAAAAATCAATGAAATTTAAGAACTGTTTAATTTGTATAATACATTTTCACAATAAAAAATATCTGTTTGATTTCAGGCTGGTAGAAATTTTCATGAGAAAACACCAATGAAGTTTATCGAAGGTTTGATGGGAGTTCATCCAGATGCAAACAAACCTGAAAACAAGTTAGAAGTGAAGAAACATCTGTTGGGGAATGAAGGGATTCCTGATGCTTTCGACTCTCGAGCTAGATGGCCAAACTGCCCCACGATCCGGGAAATCAGGGACCAGGGATCTTGCGGCTCTTGCTGGGTAAGTGGCTTGGTAAAAGAGTGATTGACATACCGGTAAACAATAACAGTGAAAAGAGCAGATCAAATCTCACTTAAGCTATGCCATACAATCTGGACGATGGCTTTTTAAAATAGTGGGAAAAGTATTGACTCTGCTTAACGATTATGTTCTCTATCCAATTTTACAATCAAAATTTTCGCTCAATATTAGGTTACCATGAATTGTACACCTCCCCACAGAAAAGTACCGGTACGCTTATAGGATGATTAGGCTTTCAACTCTGATATGTTATGCTGGAAATATGCATGCAAGGAGCAAGGAAGAGCTTGAGTGGCGAGAGGAGTGCTTGGAGACTGCTTAAAAGACAGAGTGGAAAATTAAGACTACCTAATATAGTTTGGCATGGGAGAAAAATATGAGAAGAGAGAATTCATAGGAAAATAGAGTTGATGATGATATAGGTGTGATATCCATCATTATGTGCATATATGTGTTATGTGTCTCCTATTCCACTTACTTATATCCTCATAAAATGTATTACCTTCTTGCTTATGCTTATCATCTAATTTCATTAACCTTAAACTCGTACTCGTAACATTAGATCGTAAAAACTCTAAGTCAGCTCCCTTAGGTAAAGGTAATTCTAGTTTATGAAACACTTCTTTCGCTTGTTCCTTGTTTAAATTTTTTATGTCAGTTAAACTTAGACCCACATCCATTCTCTTCGTAAACTAAACAATTCATTTTCTATTGTAACTGTAACTCTAAACTTCTAAACTAGTTTAAGAGAATGCTTGCTCAAATATATTGACTCACAGTATTCCTTACTAGACACAATTAGACTAGATTGCTTAATCCCTACTGAACAAAGTACAGCAGAAACTATGTAGCAATACTGCTAACTATGCTGAGCTAGCACAAACCTAGCATGTCCTAACAGCAACCCAACTCGCTCTGTATTGCAAACAAAAATTGATTTACAAACAAAACATTTGAGAGCCAAATTAAATGAGGTACCAGAATCGAAAATTTTGTAAAAGTTTACAAAATTCCGGCGCCTTCTCCACTTTGTGATATGCAGAAAACCCTCTCACACCTCATAGGTTATCCTGCATATGCACATGGGAGCGTAGCTTTTTAGCGAACCTGAATCTTTAATCTTTAATCTTATTTTACTTTTGTTATGAGCTGGGTAGCTGTTCAATAAGAGGAACAGATTGTATTCACAGAACTGAGTTTTTATTGTCTTTAAGTAATCAAGTATAACACAGTGACAGTTATTTCCAAGTATAGCCTACTAATAAATGCCAGGTAGAAACCGCTCTGAAGGCAGCTAGAACCTTAAATTTATGATCCCAAAAAACAAATTTATTCCCTCGTGATCTAATTAAACAAAGTATCTGACCCCAAAAGAATTCCTCTTATACAAACTTGCAAATCCCAATTAACTTACAATCCCCTTAAAACAAACCCTCCCATACAAAACTCACGACTAAAGGGCCTAACCCCAAGATAGAGAAACCAGTACTCACCCAACTCTCCTGGGCCCCTTGCCCTGGGTAACTGACCCCTTTCTCTACCTCAGATGGCCTATTTATTTATCTGACAGCTACTGAGTGCAAAGCCCCCAGTGTTTACCAAAACACCTCCAGCACGCTTCCTAGTTGGCAAGGTCACTTCCTATCTACAATTCAATAAACAATCAACAATACAAATATAAAACCCATATCTCCCTTACAAAGGGAAGGAGACGGAAATGGATACCTAGAAGAAGGTAAATAGATGAAGTGAAGAGGATATGGAGGAGAAGAATAAGATTACAGATGTCCATCACACATATTTTAATGTTATCAAATAATAAGAACTTTGTATAACAGTGATATCATGTGAATTAAGGTTTTCATGTATGGACTGTACAGGCGTTTGGTGCAGTAGAGTCTATGTCCGACCGTCAGTGTATCCACTCCAACGGCAACAGCTCGTTCCACTACTCTGCCGAGGACTTGGTCTCGTGTTGCCACACCTGCGGGTTCGGCTGCAACGGAGGGTTCCCAGGGATGGCTTGGCGCTACTGGGTCCATAGTGGGTTGGTCAGCGGAGGCAGCTACGGGTCCAATCAGGTCTGATGTCTTAGTCAAGAGTCATTGATAAAAGTTGACACCTTTTGCATGCTTCTGTAATCCACTCCCAAGTTGTAGTCAGTGATGAAGTAATAAACATAGTTGGATCAAGCCATTGAGTGTGCTCTTGTTAATTTGAATTCTGTATAATATACAAAAAGGATTTCTACTGCTGGTTCGTGTAGATAAAATGTAAAACGTCTACTTACTTCAGTACCCAAAAGTAAATATTACAAAATACTTGAGTAGTCAATCTCACAAAACCAAGTGTGTATAAAAAAACCCTGACAATTTTTGCACAAGACTTGGAGTATACTGTATACTGAAATTATGACTCTTGGCTGAAGTTATACATACTTGGCTTAAAATACCTACATTCATATGGTCGCCATATCAGAATAAAGTATTAAAGTATAAAGTACCAATTTACCTATGTGTTTACATTCATAGCTTATCATTGGCTTATGTGTTATCAAATATACATAAATCATTAAAAAAAATATGGATGTTTGTGATGTTAAGTAAAAAATATTGCTAATTTGATTATGAGTCATAGTGTTTAACATGTGAATCAGATTGAAGTTGATTTCCATTAAACATTGTTTCATGATAATTGTACTTAAGAAGTAGGATCTATGAATTAGTTTTCAAAGTCTTAAGCTGTACATAAACTCCTGAACAAAGACTCAATCCAAGATGAATTGTCAGCATCATCTGTCAGTTGTAACCTTGTAACCTTAGCAAGTTGGAAAAATATTTGTGTTTTGATTGTTCTCATTTTCTCATTATTTTGTTGTTATGCTGTAGGGATGCATTCCCTATGAGATCGCTCCTTGTGAACACCATGTCAACGGAACCAGACCTCCTTGCGCTGAGGGAGGAAAGACTCCCAAATGTGAGAAGAAGTGTCAGGCCTCTTACAATGTTGATTACAAAAAGGACAAGCACTATGGTAAGATTGAAGGATATCAAATCCTTGGCCAAAACTTGTAACCCCCTCCCCTTTATACTACTAAAGAAAGTAAATTCTGAAGAAGTGTTCTTCATTTCCTCTTGATGTTCCTACTACTGTATGTTCTCGTTCTGGGAAAACAGTTGATAGTTCTCCTGAGACTTAGGTTAAGGGGAGTTTTCACCCCTTAGGGAATAATTTAGTATTCTAAGTACAGTTTAAGATCAGGAATCTTCTCTAAAATATTTGTGTTGTAATTTATTTTTTAAGAGGGAAACATTGGAAACTAGTAGACGGATTTTTACATCTGTATTGCAATTATGCATTACCAATGCATCACTGATATTTAATTTAACATGATATTTCACCTCTACAAGGGACTTCTTCAGAAAAGTAGAAACTAGGCATTCAGACTAGACATCTAGATCAGAGTTCTATGTTTATGTTTGTAGGTCAGAAAGCATACAGTGTCGAGGGTGAAGAGAAACAAATCCAAGTTGAAATTATGAGGAATGGACCAGTGGAAGGGGCCTTCTCCGTCTATGAGGACTTTGTTCAGTACAAATCAGGTAACTATAGTGGAATATTTTGTTGTGAAAGAGTTTTTTTTCAGTTTTAGTAATTTGGAACAGCATACATGCCAAACGAATGTCTCTTTTCGTCCTAATGTTTGCAATTTCTATTAAAACTAAAGGCTAGAGATGTGCGAGTACTCGAGATTACGAGTTCGAGTCGAGTACGGCCTTGAAACTCGAGCTTATCTTTGAACTCGGCAGATTCGAGTAGAGTTTGGTTTAAAATTGTAAAAAATCAATATTTGTTAAAATGTAAGTTGTGTTTACATAAAATGCTTTATAATTTGTATTACTATAGATTCTACAGTAATACAAATATTTCTACAGTGTAGAAATAAGCAAGAGGTAGTTGTCCTAACCTATTTTTATAGCTGTCACAACAGAATAGGTCAACTCAAAGCAGTCGCCGGACTGACTGGCAATGGCATAATCTGGACTTGACACTGAATGACATGATCGGTAGTGATTTTGTTTTAAAGTACTGTTTCACAATAGAAAATTCCACTACTGAACTGTTACAAGCAATAAATCTATGTTTAAAAAAGTCAGTTAAGTTTTAAAAAGAATAGAAACACTACAAAAGGCAAAACAATAGAAGGAGGGAGGGGTTGTGCAATGACCTCGAACTGAGCCGGCAGCCGGCAAGTCGGCAACAGTGAATGGTGTAGGGGGTTGGGGGGAAGGGGAGGGTAAGACCTTGGAGCTATATTTAGACCAGACTAGACTTTCACCCAGTGTTCTCAGACGTACGATAAATATCGTTTTGTACGATAATTTAGCCTCCCGTACGATGTACGATACGTCACCGTACGATAATGCTATTTGTACGATAATTTGGGCAATTGAATAGTACTCTTTTACAAAATTGGTTTGGGAGGTTATACCCAAAAATTTGGAAACATTTTTGCTGTTTTAAATCAAAACTCAGTATTTATTAGAGATGGGATATAAAAATCAATACATAAAAAATCAATCTTATGAAGACTATAAGTTAACTGTTAGTATGAATAAAATTAAAACGAAACCATTTCCATGAAATGTGCTTCTAAACTGCTTGAATGCTTCTGCTTCGCTTCTTCTGCTTCTCCTACACCACGAAAAAGTCTGTTACCATAAGAACAGACCTTCCGTACATAATCTCGCCCATTTGGCGAATTATTGGTGTAGTAGTGCACGCCATCGATCTCTATTTTAGAGATCGATGGTGCACGGGTGCACGCACGGCCGCCTTTAACTCCAGGCCTCGGCCTTCAAAGTGGCAACATCACAAGAGGTGTTGTAACAGCTGTTTTGTTTGGAAGTGAAGCAGCTAATGGTATTTGTGTATTAACGAAATATTGGTTACTGGACTATGACAATATTGACTCCGCTTAAAATGTACATAATAGATTTTTAATTCATATTGTTTCGGGTTTCAATTCTGTATGTCTTTTTTTCAATATTTTAATAAATTTATGTTTATAAATTTAAATTGAAATCAATAAAGTGTGAATTAATGAGCTGATATCACCTGTCTGCCATGTTATCTTATGGGACGTCTGTCACTGAACAACATACCACTTGTGGAGATGCCAATTCTACCAGGCCGCGGCCTGTAGTTAAAGGTGGCCGTGAGTGCATGGTGGAAGGAAAATACTGGTGTAGTGTTTGTGTTGAGGTTGAGAAATATTCACATAATATCAGTTACCTACTATGATTAGAACGTGCAAAACTAAAAATAATATGGTTTTATGGCGATTTTGAGATTTATAATAAAAAAATATATGTCTATTAGGTATTTCAATACTCAAGCCAGTTACGATTGTTATTTAAAATTGTACGATAATTTTTCGTGAAATACGATAATTTAGGACCGCGTGTACGATATTTGACTACGGCCAATCTGGGAACACTGCTTTCACCACTTCCGAAATGGCTGGGTAGGGGCAGGGGGATTACAATAGCAGGTTTTTTCCTTGTCTGGTTTGACTTTTGTCTTTTTGTATAGGAGATTTGAATCATCAAAAATATAATTTGAATTGACCACAATTAATTATTTAGCATTGAAAATACAATCTGCAAGGGACCAGGAGAAATATTCAAATTAGAGTTAATACCATGATTTACATTTTTATGTCAAAATACAACATTGCACAATCATGATGTTTTGGGTCATTGGCCTTCTTAACAGAAGTTGATAATTATAAATTGATGCTACCGTGGTTGAAAATAATTATTCTGTAAACTTGTAAAACATTAGATAACTCATAAATAAGTATGAAATCATTCATGAGGACAATAGTAGCACTCCTAAAAAAAGCTTACAAATATCTCAAAATAATTAAGTGCTAGCACTTGGCCTTCTAGATTACATAGTTTGTTTTCCTTCATGACAACTTGCATTAATGTGGTTAATGTGCATGGAATACAATTGATTATAGTGAGTTAGGCCTAAGTCTAGGTTTCATTTGATTTCTATAACTACTATTGTATGAGCCTATTACATTATTCAGTACAATTTTCAATCTACAATTGTTTTGTTTATCAGTAAGGTAGACTACTTGTAGGCCTATTTGTACTTCATTTTTAACATATTTTGAGTATTTTGACAGAATGTTTGTTTACAATTAACATACAAGATTAAAAAATTTAATTTTCTTTATTTCAAAATTTATTTTTACTTTACCCACTGTCAAACCATTGGAAATTTTGTAGGCCTACTGTTACAAAAACCACACCAACTAAAAGAATAATGGTAATAAACTTACAAAACTAAAGGTGAAAAGGTAGGAAATAACATTTCAAGTTTTAGAATAAATCTCTTTATTAAACTTATTAGGCTATTGTAATTGCAACCTTAATAACTAATAGATGCAAGTATTAAGTAATTTTAGCCAAGTATTATGCAATATTACTTATCAATAGGGATTATTGTATTTTATTTTTGGATAAAAAAATGTATGCTCACTTACCTTTTTTTACAGAAGTAGAAGTTCATTTATGAGCTCTATTGTTGTTGTTTTAAAATTATTTTCTATGCATTATATTGATATGTTACTGCACAAATATTAATAATTTATTTATTTATAATCATATTTCAGCTTGTAACAAGGTTGTTTTAACAGTTACATGCTCTAGGCCTAAGGAGTTACTTAAACTTACACATTCTTCGATCTTTTGGGTTTAAACTCGACTCGAACTCGAGACTCGAATCTTTTGCCAATTACTCGACTCGAACTCGACTCGACCTGAAAAACCTGTGCTCGCACATCTCTACTAAAGGCTACTCTTAGCTTTGTATCGTTTCCACTATTCAGTATCAAAAAGTTATAGTCAGTATCAGGCACTTTCTACTCGACGGCTCGACGCATGCTCATGTTCCACGCGGCAGTCAGTCAGGGCTCACATCCACAGTGTGCAAAATAGGCCAACCAAACCAAAATACCAACCAAAATAGGCAACTGTGATTTTAATTAATAATAATAATAATAATAAATCTTTATTTCTCCACAAGTAATACAATAAAATTACGAAGATCTATAAAAATAAATTATTTTACAATGTAATCAAAACTTATTGTTAATTAATTAAATAAAAACAGTTTGCTAATTGTTGCAGTTGATTAATTTTTAGTACACAAATCCATTAATATTGTAGAAGTAAAATACAGGTACGTCAACTGTTAAGTTTCCCTGGCGTGTTTTTCATCGGGAGTTAATTTTCTCGCTTTCCGAACACGTACAATAGTTTTTTCGACACTTTGCAATAATTTGCCGCACGTTCTGTCGCTTTTTTGATCGAAACTGATAAAGCTCTGTCACTGCATTCTTTATCACAAACATCAACCACTTAACGAATTAAGTTCCTATCCGCACTGTGAATTGTTGCCCCACGTTTCCTAACGTCTTCCATAATAGTAAATTACAAAACACCCTCACCGTAAGAATACTTGTGGTGCACTGTAGCAACAGAAGCAATTGTCACTGTATTACTCATCTGTTGTCGATGTGACAAATATTCCACAAGCGTCACTCTGTGAAATGACACTCCCCCGTGCAGAGAGAGGGATGTGCACCTGCAAATACCGCGCGGCAACATTCCAACATTACTGCATATCGTTCTGGTTCAGAGGACTTCTTAACTCTCGCCTACAGTAAGTGGTTGACAGCCATTGTAAGTAATATTTAGGTTGAACTGAGCCGTACTCTATGAAATTTACATCCCACAAACTTATTAACAGCCAACCAATATAATAAATCCCAAATGAATAACAAATCTGAAATGTTAAACTTTCCATTAAAACACAGACTAGACTTACAAGGTTTATTAGTAACACAATTATTAAAAGCTATGGAAAATTTAAAAATGAAAGAACTATCTTAACCTCCCGTAGTTTGACTCAACCTGCAATTAAGGTTTATTTTTGTTAACAAGTGTTTTATAATATTGTACACATATACTACTGACTATTCTATAGGCCTAGTTGATTTAGATAGCTGTGATATTTAAAACAAGTGTCACATTAGACAGGTGCTAAAAACAATTAATTACAGTTGTTTGGCTTCAAACGAGATGATTATCACTGTTCTGTATTGCATGTAGGAAAAATTATATATAACATAATTCCAACTATCAGAAGGCTTAACAGACACGTCTTAAGATAAAAAAATAGTAAAACAGTAGGTGTAGAAGGCTTGACTCAGCCTATTTTAAAACATTAGCTCGCTTTCTTGTCCGGTACAAATTTTTCAATCGATTTTATACTAAGTTCCCGATGAGCTAGAGACTTGAAACTTGAAGCATAGCTCACAAATGGATGACAATGCAATATTATATAATTTAATTTTCCTACAAATTTTGATATCAGTTTTAAATGAAGTTCCTGATGAGCTAGAGTTTTGAAATTTTAAACATAGCTCACAAATGGATGACAATGCAATATTATATCATTTAATTTTCATATTTCGCTTGGGATATGCCCCATGGGCTTCCACATTTTCCATGTTTACATTTTGCAAGAATGTAAACATATCAATTAATTTAAGTCAGCTGTAAATACTTAAATTTGACAGTTCGGAGAGCAGAGGTTAAGAGGTATAAGTTCTGCTCCGGATATATATATATATATTTTTTTTTTAACAAGTATTTATTTACAATCTATTCTATACTAGAATAATAAGTAAATTTAATAACCATTTTAACATGGGTTAGTTACACTCCATCAAGTGCACTAACATACAAAAACTTTTAAAAAGTTGAACTAAAAACAATTTGGAAGGTCTATTGGATTAACTCTTTTGAGCCTATATGTAGCTTCACTATTGTCAAGGAGGTTAACAGCTAGGAAATTTGGATGGGTTTCTAATTTTCTTTGGTATTTTTCACTTTGTTTCTTTATTTCTTCTTTAACATAGGGTAATTTTGTATCTTGATGAATTACTTTATTTGTGACAAACCAAGGTGCTTGTAAAATTTTTCTCAGTGTTTTCGATTGAAACCTTTGAACTATTTCTATGTTTGAGTTGGAAGTGGTTCCCCAGAGTTGGATATCGTAGGTCCAAATAGGTTTCAATATAATTTTGTATAAAAGTAATTTATTTTCAACAGATAATTTTGAATTTCGACCAATGAGCCAATTTAGTTTGTTTGTTTTTAAATTTAAATGAAGTCGTTTGTTCCAAATGTGTGAATGCCATGTAAGCCGTCTGTCGAGATGCATACCAAGGTACTTAACTTCGTTGGATTGTGGAAGCATGACATTATTCAATGTTACTGGGGGACAAGTTCTTGTAGACATTGTAAATGTAACTTGAACGGATTTTGTTTCATTTACTTTAATTTTCCAATTCTGTAGCCACTGAGACAAATCGTCTAGTGCAGCCTGAAGGTTTGATGATGCCAGAATAGGATCCTGATTTGATGTTAAAAAAGCAGTGTCGTCTGCAAATGTTGCAACCGTAATACCCTGAGTACTTGGAAGGTCATAAGTGAACAAAATATACAAAATAGGTCCAAGAACACTGCCTTGTGGTACACCTGATTCAATTTCATGCACTTCTGTAACTATATCTTGATATTTAATTTGAAAAAAGCGTTTGGACAAATACGATTTCAACACTCCATAGTATGTATGGGGCAGCAAAGTTTTAATTTTGAACAATAATCCTGTGTGCCAGACTTTATCAAACGCCTGGGCTACGTCCAAAAAAGCAGATGAACAGAAATGTTTTTTTTCAAGATCTTCCTTGATTACATTCACTATTCTATGCACTTGCTCAATGGTGGAATGCCTTCGGCGGAATCCAAACTGATGGGAAGGCAACAATTCTTTTTCATCAATTATAATTTGGAGTCTTTTTAAGAAAAGTTTTTCAAAAACTTTAGAAACCACAGGAAGAAGAGATATAGGCCGATACGAGGATGCTTGATTTAAAGGTTTACCAGGTTTCGGAATAACAACAATTTGTGAAACCTTCCACTGTATTGGGAAGTATTCAAGGCGTAAAACTGCATTGAAAAGTACTGTAAGGAAAACTATTCCTTTTCTAGGAAGCTCTTTCAACACTTTACCTGTTATCAGATCATAACCGGGGGCTTTTTTGCCGTTTAAATCGTCTTTTATTACTTTAGCTACTTCAGATGGTGTGAACAATTTTATTGGTAAATCAAGTTGATTTGGAGAATCGAGGAATTCCCAAATTTCTTGCTCAACATTTGAATTAATATTATATGGCTTGAACACTTCCTTGAAGTATGAAGCAAATACATCTGCTTTCTCGATGTTGTTTTTGGCCCAAGAACCGTCTTCTTTTAGAATAGGTGGAATGCAAATTTGTGGACGTTTTAAGTTTTTTGTAACTTTCCAAAGGGAGTAGTTACTAGCTTCAGATGGAGAAAGGTTTGATGTGAAATCTTGAAATCTGTCATTGTTTAATTTAAACAGTAACCTTTTTAGTTGTTGAGTGGCCCTGTTTAGATTTCTTTTATCCGTCTGGTCTCTAGAGTTTTGCCATATTCTACGGAGTCGGCGTTTTTCGGCAATTTTCCTATTAATTTCAATTGGATAGTGTATTCCTGATTTTAAATTATGTTTATTCTGGTCTGGAGTTGCTCTCCAAGCGGAGTCTTGAACTGTTTTGTTGAAATGTTCAACAGCATGATTCAAAATATATTCTAAAAATATAAAACAAGCATTTTAAAGTCAAGATAAAACATCTGATTGGAGATAATAATCAGGTTTTGGTTATATATTAACAGACCATATAAAATATATTTAACATATTTACACATTAAAGACTAAAAAGTTGAAAATAATTTATAAATAAAAAGCTTTTTTAAAACAAAACGTTTTTAAACGCACTAAAAAGTAGAAAATAATTTATAAATATGTTGAGAGTAAAAATACTTGTAAGATTTAAAACTAAAAACGTTGGGTGCATGCAATTAATTTATAATAATATATTAGCTCAATAGGTGAAGATAATTGTAAATTATCAACTGCATGCACCCCACGTTTTTCGTTTTAAATCTTACAAGTATTTATACTCTCAACATATTTATAAATTATTTTCTACTTTTTAGTGCGTTTAAAAACGTTTTGTTTTAAAAAAGCTTTTTATTTATAAATTATTCTATTACCTTGAATTATTTTTCTTACAAATTTCTGCTTGTGCTACCTATTGATTTCAAGGCACTTTGAAAATTGATCTAGGAAGCCTTACTTTTACAATAAAACATTTGTTTTGTATGCCGCTGGGTCCAAACCCCACACAGGGACCAGTCTTGTTATCTAATGTAAACTTTTTGTAAGCCAAAAGGCATTGGCATCTGGGTCTAGAAACAATCCTTGTTGAGATTAAACCGGCAGCCTTTAGATTTAACCTATATAATCACACAGATATTCAGAAAATCACATTGTTTAAGGGGGTTCCCTACCTCGAACTGTTTTCAATTTTCTGCGACCCTGGTGAATTTAGTTGGAACTACAAGACGACAAAATATTCCCTAGGATTGCTGTCTGCTGGTCGTTTCGCCGCCAGGACGCCTCCGCAGTGGAAGTAGGCCCATCCTAGTAAACCCGCCCCACTAGTGCACTCACTTTCACTTTCACTCTCCGTTTTTCGCGCATCTCTTCATATTCGCGAGTACGACGTAATAGTCTCCACTCGGCCAAACGTTCTCCGCCACGATTTTTCTTACGGCGGTGTTGCCGCTGGGAATGGATCTTTACTGGACCACCCATGATTAATAAACTGGATATTCACAATCGTACTAATTGCAAATCAAATACACTAATAGACACAACACACACACGACACGAGTTCACTAAAACGACCACTCTGGATGTCTTCGTCCAAACAACTAATGCCGAAATATCTATCTAGGCGGAAAAGAGAAACCGATTGCAAACAACCAATAAAAGAGCCCAAAGTTTTACAACCCTTCACTCATTTCTAGGGAATTCCTCTGCCGCGCCGCGCCTGCCGCCCTAGGATCACACCACAGCGCGTCGTCGAACAGGTTTTGCATTTGGCAAGATTGAAAAACGCTACAGCTTGGAACTTATTTGCTCCAGTTCTAAGATTAATTTATTCAAATTAAATATTAATTTAAAACGTTTTTGTTTCACAAGTATGCTACAACCTATATGACTGAACGTTTTTATATTATCAACAGGTTCTTGGCTGTATTTATTTATACTGCTTAACTGGTTTATAATAATTAATATAATGTTATTATGTGTCATGGATAAATCTTGGGGGAAATATTATGAATGATGAAGAATGTGTAAAATTTGTATCCCTCCGCGAGACAGTAGTTTCGATAAAGGCCGCTAGAGTCCGTCAGAATCATAGCACTTTTCGCCGTGCAAGGTTTTACGCGGTTTCATTTTGCACATACAAAAAATAATCTTTTCTTGAAACTAAAAGTGACTTGATATTTTTAGTTAAATTTCGCACTAATATTGCTTTATCAAAAATCGATAATTTCATAAAAAGATATTATTATTTAACTGTAAAGTTCACTAACTTTGACAAGTCGTTGCCCTTGATTGCGTAAGCATAGACATTTTTTAAAAAGCAAACATAGTAGAACCACTCTTTATATACAAAATGGTGTTTGGTTCACAATTTAAATGTTAAAACTAGAATCGCTATATGATACCGCGCGAAGCGGTTTTCTGACGTTTTTCGGCGGGGGTAGGGAACCCTCTTAAGTCTAAGGAAGTGGATTATTTAGTGTGGATGTTGTCTGTGTGTTGCAGGAGTATACAAGCATGTAGCAGGCAGGATGTTGGGAGGACATGCCATCAGGATACTTGGCTGGGGCGAGGAGAACGGTAGTCCTTACTGGCTGGTCGCTAACTCTTGGAACTCTGACTGGGGCGACCACGGGTAACTATCACAATTGATGGGCCAGATCCAAATACAGTAAAACCATGATTTACTGAATTTAAAGGAGTTAGCCATTATATTATCTTGAAGGGGGGGGGGGGGCTGAAGCCTCAAAGCTCTTTATTCAAATACATGCAAATCTCAATCATACTAATTTTTCAATGAAAATCTCATATGTATTTGCATTACACCGTGTGGCAGAATTGAAACTAATAACTTTATCGTAATGTAAACATCTATTGAGATTCTAAACATTAACTCAGGGAAGAAAGTAAGCAATAAAACTGTAAATAAAAACAAATCCAACAGCTGGTGCATCTTAAATATTTTAAATGTGATCAAATACAGCCCTTTAATTGAGATTCGTTCCCTGAGGAGAGAGTTTATCGAAAAACTGATATTGTTCGGGCATCCGGGATGTTTCTCATCAAGACCTTTTATTCAATTATGTTGTTTTGAGACTAATAGATTATGTAACAGATAATCGGTTTTCATTATTTGTAATGTGGTTTCTGTTTCAAATTCCAGTTACTTCAAGATTCTCCGGGGATCGGATGAATGCGGCATTGAAAGTCAAATCAACGCTGGCATTCCCAAATAGAAAGTGCCATAACTGATTATTGACTGAAGATTTTGTTCCAAGCTGATCTTCTGATGTTTATTTTTTATACTAAGTGGGTTACTCGTGGCCAAATAATCGTGTTATTGCATGTATATGTGTCTACCTTGCTGTGATTATTTTCATATTTTATCAAGTGTTTTGTAATTTGATACACTATTGTGTGAATAAACATATTACTTTAACAAGGCGTGACTAGTTTTCTTACCTGTTTAAACTTAGACACTGCCAAGGCATGTGGCAATTAGTGGCTATATCTATATCTATAATACCCCCGCCGCAGCAAACCTGCAGACTAAGCGAATTTCCAATTGTCTGATTGGATTTACACTAAAATGTCTCCTTAAAAATATCACATTTATTCCCTATTTAAATAGAATCAGTTTAACACATACTTAGGTTTGCTGCAATGGGGGTGGGGGTGGGGGGGTAAAAGGGTTTCTTTATGTAAAATGTTAATAGTTAGTAAGAAATAAAAACATTTTCCAAATTTGGGCAAAATATGTTAATAAAATATGTTAATAAATATGTCAAACTACAACAGTTTACTTATTCTCCATAAAAATAACATAGGAATTTTAAATTTAAATTTTTTTGGAATTTTCTCCGTAGCCATTAGGCGCATTATAACGCTTCAATATACTAAATTATTTGTTTTTTTAAGCTCTACAAAATAGTTTGGAAAGAAATCGCAAAATTTTATGTTTTTTGGGCCAAAAATGGGAAAACAACCCATTTTTACCCCATAAAAGCCTCCATAAACCCCCGTTCCCATGGTCCGATCATGCTGGTTCGCGAACTCGTTTGAATAAACGCAGGTTTACTATTTGTACCAAAACTTTTTAAATACCGGTACCACGTTTTTAAACATAATAAAAAGTAGAAAATAATTTATAAATATGTGGAGAGAATAAATACTTGTAAGATTTAAAACAAAAAACGTGGGGTACATGCAATTATTGATGATAATAAAGAGTGTGTAAATTAGCTATTTCATGCGCCCCACGTTTTTCGTTTTAAATCTCTCCAGTATTTAGTATTTATTCTCTCCAAATATTTATAAATTGTTTTCTACTTTTTGGTGTGTTTAAAAACGTGGTATTTAAATAGTAGTTTTCGTTACTATTAACCTAAAGTAGGTTTTTTTTGGGACCATATCTTTAAAGAAAATTTGGTTAAGTCACAAAAAAGCATTTTAGGACGAGTTACAAACAATAATTATAGCAGAAAATACAAAATATAGCCAAAAATACAGTAACACTGAATGAATTAGGTTATGTAAGAAACAAACAAAGTTTGTTTTGTTGAAGCATTTTAAAGGATCAGAACAGCTGATTTGTTTTTGAGATAAGCTTTGACATAACCATATGGTTCAGTCCAAATTTCCAAAAAGCTATCTTTAGGGACTCAAAATGATCCGTAAGACTTCTGTTTTTGAGACAGTGTAATGAAAAAAAGTTTTTTATATATTAATTATTATACTTATAATCAGTCATTTCATTGCATTGTACAACTAAATTGTTTCTTTAGAAACAAAATGTTACTGATTAATGTGATGTTTACTTTAAAACTACTACTTGGTCCTCATAAAATGCAATACCTACTGTAAGGCCACATCTACCTCTACAAAGGGTACAGAAAACCTATTTATGTGACTAAAAGAAATCAAAATGGTCTGTTTATAGGGTTTATTGAACCACTATCAGATTAGTCAGACATGGAGATCTACAAAAGTTGATGATTTCCTTCTAACAAAAATATAATCAGCGGAATTTGGCTGTCTCAAACACATATTTGAAATAGTTCCTTTTATGTTCAACAAGACAAGAGCACTGCATTTATTTTTTTAATCCTCTTATCTACTGTGCAATTTCTAAAAAAGTTTCACAGCTATGTCAAAAACATTTTGCAATATTTATGAGAGTAGAGAGTGAGCAAGGTAGCATAGATTAAACATACTCCCTTAGTATTGGTTGTATACTATATTATGCGGTTTATGAACATATTTTTTAAATAAAATTTGTGAAGTTGATTTCTAATGCATACTAAGCTATGACATATCTAAAATGCACTTAATTCTCTTTCTTGCAGAAGCAAACATAAGTACATATTTTAACTAAAGAATAAATCTGACAGGTTTCAGGAAATATTTGCGAGAAAATGTAATCAGGTAAATATTTTGCTGCGGTGGGGTATATGGTATATTATTATTGCTAATGTTACCGACTAAAGCAAAAGCAGCAAAACGGTTACTAAGATATCCCGAATTCTCGCTCCCCCGACTCTCGACTGGCAGGCTATCTTTGGGTAATTGTGTTAAACAACTCAGAGCCACTCAGATAACGTAAAAGCTTCTTTACGAGCCCAACAGATAGCGCTGGCTGTCTGGCTCCAGCAGACGACAATAGTGCTTTATGACAATCATCGGAGCCTGCCTTATGGGTTATGGTGTCTGGTGGCCAAACGTAATAGACTTGATAGTCAGTTCCATTAGTTCCAATAAGGTTGGAAATCTCGGTTTGTAAACCGATTTAGATTGTAGGGTTGTTCGTGGTTTTCGAGTATTTAAACTCGGGTTGGAATTAAATATTTTTAGTCAGATTTGTAATTTGCATCGTAAATAATTGACTTGTAAACATTTTAGTGAAATTTTAAACAAATTCATCACTTTAAATCAATTGCTTACAGTATTATATGTAGGGGGTTCCATTGTTTGTTTTTGACTATATGGTTTTAGTGTCGAGAAAATATAGTGTTCAACAATACATAAATTTACAAGGACAGTGAAATATGCAAACAAGTTATAATATTTTATAATATAATGAACAAGTAAATTTCGACTCCAGTTGTACTTATAAAAACGTATTGGCCGGTGCTTCCGGTAGCCATTAGGATATAAGTAGGGAAGCCATTCAAGATTCTTGGAGTATCCAATCGAAATCGATCACCACTTACCATCTTTTTTTGTATATTTACCGTCTTGTGAGTAACGGTATAAGCGTAAATATAATGTTTTAAGTGTTATAAGACGTTTAAATATTATTTCCATTCCGTAAATTTAATAACACGTACATGTAAATTCAAATTCAAATTGTTTATTTGGCCATTAAACATTACATAATAGGCTATGTCAATACATAATTCAATAAAATAAGAATAAAACCATCATCAGAAATTGGTTAACAATAAAATCAAACCATGCTTAGTTCAAGTCAAATAGCAGGCAAAATAAAAAGTTAAATAAATTAGATTAAAATCATGCACATTTGGAGGAAAAAAAATCAAAAAGCAGTTAAAAAAAAGCACACACCATGCATTACCTAATTACAGGTGGACCTCTGTCTTAAGGAACTCACTAGAGTCAAATAAAGGTGTTTCTACGAGTCTATTACTTAGAAAGGCTTTGAATTTTGGTAAAGGCAAACGCCTCACTTCAAGAGGCAGATGATTAAAATACTTGCAACCTGTAAAAGCAAAACAATTAATTGATTTACTCAGTCTGTGCCTTACAGTGAAATTATCAAACCTATTTCTAGTGTTATGGCTATGTACATGCTGATTTCTAGGTAGGTATATTTCATTGGACTTAATTTCTAGGAGACATTGAAAAATATATACATTATACACAGTCATGACTTTGTTTTGGAGAAACAGTGGTTTGGAGTGCGCGAGATCCTGGGCTCCACTAAAGTACCCTCATCGCTTTCTTTTGCAGAACCAGAATTTTGTTGACTTTAGGCGAGTGACCCCAGAGTCTCGTTCCGTAGACAATAATAGAGTGAAAAAAAGCAAAGTAAGCAACACGAATGAAATCTTTTGGCAGGTAAAAACTCAGTCTTCTCAATAAAAATATAACCCTGTTAAGCCTACAGCACAGCGACTCAATAAGATCTCCCCAGTCAAGGTGAGGGTCCAGAGTAAAGCCCAGCAGCTTTACATGGTCATTGCACTCAGCAGACTTTCCCAAGCTAAAGGTGATTGCCTGAGTCTTAGATTCATTGAGGATCAATTTGCTAACATTGAACCAGGCAGTAGCAGTAGACAGAAAACCCTCAACTTTGGTTTTTGAGAGCTTCAAGTCAGGATCTTTGGCAAACAATGTAGTGTCATCTGCATAAATAATAACATTACCTGACACTTCATAGTTAGAGATCATTAATGGCCACCAAAAACAAGAAAGGGCCCAATATGGAGCCCTGAGGGACACCATGTTTTACTGCCAAAGGGGTGGAATTTCTACCATTCCAACATACTATCTGCTGTCTGTTGCTAAGGTAAGATCTGAGTACGTCGAGTGCACCACTCTGCAGGCCATATCTTTCAAGTGCTTAAGAAGAATTTGGTGAGAGACACAGTCAAAAGCTCGTGAAATATCACAGAGCAAGACAGAAGTGTTTTGTTTGGTTTCAAAGCAATCAAGCACAACCTGAAGAAGGGAGTCCACTGCCGAAACAGTGGATCTGCCCTTCCTAAAGCCGTACTGCGCAGGCACAAGCAGGTGATGGACTTCAAAGTACTCATACAGTTGTTCCAGCATAACAGCCTCAAACACCTTTGCCAGAATGGGAATTATAGCTATAGGCCTATAACTAGACAAGTGTACGATGCTGATAAAGAAGTTATCAAGTATAATTATGTCAATGTGGACATTTTAAATATTTTGAGAACAAATACTCTACATTTGTCTTAGAGTAAGTTTTATTATTAGTATTATAATAATTTGTTCACTGCCATAGGAGTTATTTAACTCATCGTTGTATTCGCAATAATTTGACAAATACATTTTAACTATTGAATGCAACAGGTAAAAAAACAATTAAAAAGTAACAAGATTGGAATTATAAGTTATGGCAAGTACGAAATATTTTTAAACTTAATTTAAATCTAATTGACAAATTCTGCCCTGGACAACGCACTCTATCACAATTAAGTTGTGTCCCCAAATTCCAGAACTCATTGCATTCTAGCGTTCAAATATAAGGACCAACTTATGCTGCGTTTACCCCAGAGAGAGCTTCATCCTAAAAATCTTGGTAACACCACACCAAGTTTTGTCTCTATATGTAACTACTATTACAACAGTAAAATACCCCCGCCGCAGCAAACCTGCGACTTAGCGAATTTCCATTTGCCTGATTGGATTTAAACTAAAATGTCTCCTTAAAAATATCACATTTATTCCCTATTT